TCTCTTCAAAACAGAACAGCAAGAATTTCAAGGTTAACACATTTTCCTTAGTAGCTTTAGTAAAAAGAATAGTGTCATCAGCATACTGGAGATGAGTAAGACCCCCTGGAACCAGATTAAGAACCAACCCCTCCAAAACCCCATTACTATTAGCACCATCCAGAATAACTGACAAAGCATCCCCTATTAGATTAAATAAGATAGGAGACAGAGGATCCCCCTGCCTCAGACCCCCTATTAGAAAAAGTCTTGAAAAAAGGTCCATGTTCCCCATTAATATTTATACTGACTCTACCCCCTTCAGTGATCTTCTTAATCCATTCAATAAAAATGATGTTAAAATTCTTCTTCTGCATCACCTCATAAAGAAACCCCCACTGCACCCTATCATAAGCCTTTTCAAAATCTATCTTAAAGATAACACCCGATTCTTTCTTTTTATGGAGCTCATGCAAAACCTCATGGAGAATTACACACCCATCCAAAATATACCTCCCAGGAATGAACGCAGTCTGTGTCCAGTTAATAATCCCCCCAATCACACCAGTTATCCTCATGGTTAAAGCTTTAGTTAGAATTTTCAGAATCACATTCTGAGGACAAATGGGTCTATATTGCTTTATTGTATTAGCATCCTTAATTTTTGGCAGCAGAGAAATCACCCTATAATTTATCCTATCACTGTCTAAAATTCCTCTCTGAAGATCATCAAGCATCTCTTTGATCAAACCCCTAAATTCAGGCCAAAGTTTCTTATAGAAACCCACTGGAAAACCATCAGGACCAGGGGCAGTATTTGTTTTCATACTCTTCATGACATGATCAATTTCTGACAACTCAAAAGGTTTCATCAAGCTTTCATTATCCCCCTCATTCAAACTTGACCTGTCAGCCCAAACCCCCTGTTCCAAATGAATGTTTCTCAATTCTTCCCTCCCAAACAACTGCTTGTAATAATTATAAATATGAGTCTGTATTTGTTGGAAATCTGAAAGAACCTCCTCCCCTTGCTGTATAGAGAAAATGTGGCTTTTCCTATTCCTACCATTAGCAATCCTATGGAAAAAAGAGGTATTGCTTTGCTCTCTTCCTCCTATTCCCTAAAATTATTTTTTCCACTCTACATTGGTTAGAAATTATATCTATCTTATAAAAAACAAAAGAAAGCACATCCCACCTAGCCCACGTGCGTATGTACGTACTCACTCTTTCACCTTGTAGCCCATCTCTCTTTCCTTAATTTTCATGCTATACGTTAGTTAGAAGTATATTTTATAATAAAAAATTAAAAATAACTTTAACACCTAAATCATATATCACACATAAAAATTTTATCCACTTACGTCGTTAGATTATTTAGACTAAAATTATATTTAAAGACTCATATTCATAATATTTCTATTTGCAGTATAATTATGTTTCTATTGGTTTTAACTTTTACATGTCAATCAAACAACTAAAAATACTATGAACAAAAACTGATATAGATTTTATCGTGATGCATAACTTCACAATAATTAAATTACATCTAAAATGATAGAAGTAAAATGAAAGTGAAAAAATATTAAAAATGATATATCTTAATCAGTGAATAAAACTAATTTTTATTCTGTTTTTAGTTAATAAAGTAGTAGTAATTAAAATACATTAAATTTGTAAAGCATAAAAATATGATTATAATTTTTTTCTTTACTAAATTTCACTTAATGCGGTAGACCTATTATTTTATACCATTATTTATAAATAACTCAAACCAATTAGATCTATGTTAAAGAAAACATAAAACAAAGTCTCCTCACCCTCGGGTATATTCCTCTCCTCCGTAATTATGTACCCTTCCGGTCTCTCTCCCATTTAAATCTCCCCTCATCTTCTCTCCCACTCAATTCCTTCCTCTCTTTTTCTTAACTAACAAAATAATATAAAGACCAGTCAATAGCTAGAAAGAGATCATAATTCATAAGTTTTCAGTCTATTTGAGCAATTATTTAATAATAATTCAAGGTCCATACTACCCTTACTTATTGTATAAATATTAAATATGTCATTTTAATATATACCCCAGTTTATTGAATGGCAACCCAGAAAACAAAAAAAAATTATTGTGAAGATATATCAGCGCAAGTCATTCTAAATCCTCTATAGCGCTCTTAAGTCGCCATGTGTCATGTCTTAAATGTTTTTTAAAAAGGAACTTAGAAATTTTGAGTAATAAAAATCATCTAATGGTAGGATTCCACTTAACGAATAATCCATTATTCAACAATTAGATCTCCTTTTAGAAAAATCTTAAACCTCCATGGGTCATGTCTTAAAAACTAGGATAAGAATCTTATAGATATGTTTTTTTTTCTAGATAATGAAAAATATTATAGGTAGGAGTACAGGGTTGGTTCAAAAGTTATATTTGTTATTATTAACTTTAAATTTTATGGCTCATATTGACTAGGTTTTTATAAAATAAAAAATAAAACTATAGATCATGCATATAATAGGGAAGTGCTATTTGCTTTTCAAATGTGGCAAATATCATCCGGCCAATATTTCACTCTTATAAGTTTCTCAAACAAAACGTACAATACATGCCATTGTGAATGCGTGGGCTAACATACTAGTTCCTTCAAAAAGGAGAATATATATATAGTAAATTTGTTTGGTGCTCCATGGTGCCCGGGCTCCATGATTCAAATTGAGTATATACTTAATTCAAATGAGTATAAAATTTTTTTAAATGTTTAGGTACTAACATTAACTACTTTACTAACTAGTTCAAAACAAGTTTGAACTGAATTTAAACATGTTTTTATTAGATTTTGATTCTAGGTATATAGCATCCAAACATATAATTAGTTAGGTATGTTATATTGGATTGTGAAATAAAGTTAAATTTGAGTTGTTTTGTTTTTAGGTATAGGTATGAATTGAATACTTATAACTAGGTATATACTCACAATTTGAAAATTTTGAAAAATTTGGGTGAATTTGTGTATTTCATACCATGGTGCCCGGGCACCATATATATATATATATATATATATATATATACATATATATATATGTCCTATATATAGTAAATTTGTTTGGTGCTCCATGGTGCCCGGGCACCATGATTGAAATTTACTATATACCCAATTCAAATGAGTATGAAACTTTTTCAAATATTTAGGTATTAATGTTAACTACTTTAGTAACTAGTTCAAAGCAAGTTTGAACTGAATTCAAACTTGCTTTTGTTAGATTTTGATTCTAGGTATATAGCATCCAAACATATAATTAGTTAGGTATGTAATAATGGATTGTGAAATAAAGTTAAATTTGAGTTGTTTTGTTGCTAGGTATAGGTATGAATCGAATACTTATAAGTAGGTATATACTCACAATTTGAAAATTTTGAAAAATTTGGGCGAATTTGTGTATTTCATACCATGGTGCCCGGGCACCATGGTGCCCCATATGAGTGTCATATATATATATATATATATATATATATATATGTATATAATACATATATATATATATGTATATAATACATATATATATATGTATATAATACATATATATATATGTATATAATACATATATATATATGTATATAATACATATATATATATGTATATAATACATATATATATGTATATATATACATACATATATATATACATATATATATACATACATATATATATACATACATATATACATACATATATATATACATACATATATACATACATATATATATACATATACATATATACATATACATATATACATATACATATATACATATACATATATACATATATACATATATATATATATACATATATACATATATAGATACATATATACATATATACATAGATACACATATATACATATATACATAGATACACATATATACATATATACATAGATACATATATACATACATATACATACACATACACATATACATATACACATATACATATACACATATACATACATATATATATATATATACATATATATATATATAACCCCTAGAGTAATATGCGTACTTATGGATTTCATGGGCCATGATTCGCTTTTTTTTCTCATTCACAAAAAAATAGAAACCGCTTATTCCTATTTTTTTTATCAATGAGAGATATAATGGATCATGACCAATTAAATTCATGAGTACCCATGATACCCTAAGGGTAAAATGGATATTTTCTATCCCTTAACAGTGTTTGATTAACAATCGATTAACGGCGATAGTATATAAGAAAAAACACGATTCGATGGTATATTATAGAAGCAAGTTAATCCATGACAACACCGTATAGAAACAAGTAAATCCATGACAACACGAGTTGTTCAATGGTATATTATAGTAAAGTGCTTGTTTTGTTTCCATATTCTTGCAAGCATTATTATACCGACCCGCACTGAACTGCGTTAGAATACTTTCTGCTTCTGGTTTACTTTGAGAACATTACGGAAGCTGTGGATCAGATACTTATTCAGGAGTAGGGGGGATCACGTACTATTGTTTCAATGGCTAGAAACGAAAAGAAAAGGCTGAATTAGTATTATGAAAAGGATGAAAGAAAACGAAAAGAAAAGAAATAGGTCTAGTGGACCACTCCAACAACTACACTTATTTAGGTACAAATTTTTAGACTAAGGCTACGCTTATCTACGGATGGATGGAGTATATAACATGTGTCTCTATGTCCGTTAGCTGGAGCAGTAATGAAAAGATAAACAAATGATCCATTTCTGTAAATATATATATATATATATATATATATATATATATATATAATTCTAGTTTCCACAGTAGGCAATTACACAAACGTGTGCGGTGTTTTTTGATTTAGTTTGGTGGTGCAGTAATATATAGAAAGTAAAGTGCTTAAGTTTTCTCATTCTCCTGCATATATATTCGAGTACCGTGCGTGCAAAACATTGAATGTTTGAAGTCATACAAGTGGCCTGCATACTGAACCGTGTTAATTAACTTTCTGCAGATCATCATGTTCGATGGCGTTACGCGCACCGCGGATCAGATACTTGAGAAGTATCTGAGTAACAGCGATAGACCCTATTATCAGGGCGGGCAAAGCATTTACTTTGATGGCTGGAAAGGGTTTGGCACCTCCGCCATCCTTGCGGACATAGCAGAGTTAGCTAGACGTAAGAAATCCATGGACTATGAAATAGTCCTCCATGTAGACTGCTCCGTGTGGGAAAGCAGGAGAACACTGCAGAGGATGATCGCAAAGGAGCTAAACCTCGGCGGTTCCACGATGGCCCTGTTTGACAAGCAGGACGAGGATGACGATTTCAGTGGAATAGAAAAGAGCTCCCGAGCTGAGATAGATGAGGTTGCAAAGCTCATCTTTCAGGCAGTAAAGGACCGTAGCTGTTTGCTGATTGTTCACAACGGAAGTGACGATGAGATTGATTTTCTTAGGTTTGGTGTTCCTGTGCTTGAGCGGAGAAACACAGTGTTGTGGACATTCAGGGGGAGGTTTCGGCTTGAACCTGCAATCAAAGACAAAGTGAAAAATGCTGATCTTTTCCTTTCTATAGATCAAGAAGGTTGGTCCGACAGAAATGAATTACTGCACCGTGAGGCTGCACAAGTTAGCCGTAAGATCAGCCCAGCTCGAATTGCCGAATGTTGGTTGTACCTGTCACTTATGTATTATAACCACTCCAACTTCATTTCCCATGATATCGATGCAGTGGGATCATAGAAGGAGACAGTGCATGGGAGATTGCCGACAGACTTTATCACCGGATGCGGCTGGAATATCTTCCTACAAGACACAACCATGACTTTTGGTTCCCGCAGTATTTTGGGAGCCAAATACAAGCAAGGGATTATCGATGGGTTTCAGTTATGCCCAGGAATTCAGATGAGGTAAAACTTATACAAACATTTTCAGTTCCACTGGAAGTGACATCCTATTTTTTGACGTTCCAAAGATCTGATCCTCCAGTAGTACTGCCAAATCACATGTTTAGTCAAGGCAACGAACTTTGTGTGCTGAGACTCTCTTGGTGTACATTTAGTTTTGCATCCCCTCCTTTTACCTGCTGCAAGAACCTCAAATTTATTCTGATAGATGGCTGCTTAAACAAGGATGCTGATTTAACTGGTGAATGGTATCACGAGCAGAACGGAAAACAATGGGAATTTCTCCAAAGTTTATGGGTGTTGGACATACGTGATACAAACTGGGACTGGATCTTATCCCCATCAAAGGTGGTGCTGATGGTTGAACTGCGGGAGCTGTATCTCAAGGCTACAGGAAGAAGCTGGCATGATCAGATCTTTCTTGATATGAGTTGTCTCTCTAAGCTTCAAATGCTCAGAGTGATTGATTCCTCTACATACATGAAAGCGGCGGTACATGACTCGTTCCAACACATGATGAACCTGGAGCTCCTTGACTTATCAGGCAACACCACTCTACATGTTTTGCCAAATTTATCAGGGGCAAGTAAACTAAAGGTGCTCATCCTTGATGGTTGTGTTGGCTTGGAAGTAGTGGAGCCCAATACCCTTCCTAGGTCGTTGGAGTCATTCAGTTTTGATGGATTTGGACCAGCATCCAGGTCAGAAGAAGAAGAAGAAGAAGAAGAAGCGCGACCAAACACATATATAAATCAAGAGCATACTTGTGTAATTTCCAATATATCTCTAGAGGGATGTGAGCAACTGAAGAGTTTATTCTTACGTGGATTGCCAAACCTCAAGGAGCTGAACCTGTCGGGGACAAGAATCCAAGCACTCGACCTCGAAGCTATGCAGGTCCAACAACTTGAAAGGCTCTTTCTACTGGGCTGTGCGAACCTTACCAGAGTGAAATGGATTGATCCAAGCAACCCACCACTGAAGTTGCTATGCATAGACACAAGAGGAAAAGCAGCAAGAGCAATGGATGGTGTCTGTCAGGGATCTCATCTCTTCACCCAACAAGAGCATGAAGCCCATCCGTCTACACATGTTGTAGCTACAGATGCTAGGTTCCTTCGTGGCTTCAGGGCTGGTGGATATGGAAATACCATTGCGTTCGGTAGATATGTTCCATCTCAGCATTTCCATTTGCATATCTCTGATACTGTCAATGACAAACCAGTTCTTCCAAGAGCTAAGGAGAAAGATGCCAGTTCTAGAGATGGATTAATTCCTGGATTCCCATATCTTGATGTCATTGACAAGGTTTTCAACAACGATGGTGAAGATGGATGTTCAGTGCCATATTGCAAGCATCCTGTGCCTCTCGATTGCCATATAGAAATTGCCGAAGGAGGAAGCAATTTGGAAATCGAACAGGACCTTTATGGTATGGGTTCCTTAATCTATAATACTCAATCCTTGCATATACATGACAACTCGTCCATCAGTATTGGTAACCTTGGAGTCAAGGGGAACAAACAATTCAAAAATCTCAGATGGTGTCATGTCACAAGGTGCCTTAAGATGCACACGGTCTTTTTCTGTGATGATGATTGGAGGTATGGTAACTTCTTCCCGAGCCTGGAGACACTCTGGGTATCTCACCTTGTACAAGCCCGCTGCATTTGGAGCACAGGATTACGTTTTTGGAAACCAATAGCAAGGACCACACCTGCAGCCTTATCAAAGCTACGGTGCATACACCTGCACTCCTGCCCCAGACTAAGACATGTCCTCCCCTGGTCCTTACCCACAATGGAGAGCTTGGAAACCATCCACATCACCTATTGTGGTGAGCTCACACAGATCTTCCCAAAGCCGGGTAGTTGCTGGACAGAACGTACTGAATTCCCAAGCCTGAGACGAATCCATCTCCAAGATCTCCCCATGCTGCAGGACATATGTGAAAGAGCCATGTCAGCACCCATGCTGGAGACCATCAAGCTCAGAGGCTGCTGGGGTATCAAACGTCTGCCAGCCATCCACGCCGGCCGTCCACGCGATAAGCCTCCGGCGGTGGTCGACTGCGAGAAGGACGTATGGGACAAGCTGGAGTGGAACGGCGACGGCATGGAAGCGAGCCGCAGTCTCTTCAGCCCACGGCACTCACGCTACTACAAGAAGGACCTGCCCCGGGGATCAGTCCTCAGGTATGTGTTATTTCTTTCATTCGTGTTTTGAATTAACCTGCTCCGTGCGTTACCTCCCTTTCCCAACATCCCTCCCTCATTTTCCACGTGCACGCTTTTCAAACTATTAAACGGTGCGTTTTTTAAAAAAAAATTCTATATGAAAGTTGCTTAAAAAATCATATTAATCTATTTTTGAAAAAAAATTTAGTAAATACTTAATTAATCATACAATAATAGATGCTTTGTCAGCCCTAAGGGTTCCTCTCTCCCAAACACCCCCTTTAGCAGCCTGGTTAGTTAGTGACCTCATAAGGCAAATAGTACTAGAGCTCTCTCATAATCGAATATTTATTTGTAATGTTGTTGGGCCCTTAAATCAAATACTAGTATGGGTATGGGTATCTGATTTTTTTTTGTACAGGTGATTTTCCACCAATGTTGAAGCCTACCTAGCGTTGCTGAGGAGAAGTGGTGATCACTATCCATGTTTGCAGAGATGTGTTTGGTGCCATTAACTACCTTTCTGTCGCATTTGTGTGTGGTTTGCATGTTTTTCGTCAGACAAAATAAAGACATCGGACACAAGTATTGCTTGCGTGTCCACGGTAGTGCACCTTGATTGCACGACCTTGTGCCGCTTCATTTCGTGCATTGATGTGGCTTCGTGATCAGTTTGTCAGCTTTTATGATATGGTATTGGTTCGCGTTTGGTGTGTATTTGGAATAAGAAAGGTCAGCCTGTGTGCAATGGGATGATGACCTGGTTTGTGTATGATTTGCAAAGAACATAAGCGTGTACTGTTGTGATCGTTTGGTGTGTATTTGAAATAAGAAAGGTCAGCCTGTGTGCAAGGGAATGACCTGGTTTGTGTGTGATTTGCAAAGAACAATTGCTTGTACTGTTGTGATTGAATTAATTGAATCGAACTCCTATGAGTCATTAATTATGTGTGATGTGTTATATACACTCCATAGTTACAGAAAAAAAAATTAACTTCTAGGGAAAATTCTGAATTTCGGATTGATTCCCAAAAATTGTTTTTTTTGGGGGAGAGGAAGTATGGTATATACATGTTTGACTTTGATGGCAAATTAAATGAAAGATCAAGCTTCTGCATTGTTTATGAGAAAAAACTTCACTTATTAATTCCAAGAATATAGTAAAGAACTGCGTGCATTTGAGGTTTATATTGAGGTGCACATTCTCACTATTTTCTACTATTTGTAGGAACATTAGATTTGCTCATCCTTAATTAAAATGTAAAAGAGATATTTTTGCAAATCCTCCCCATGCAGTATATAAACATAAATTATTGAAAAATTAAGTATATTTGTAATTTTTTTCCATTTGAAGGATGCTAAAAACTCTCTATCTATAGAGTTTGAGTCAGACTAGAGGGGGCGGGGATGCAGGGTTGGTCACGGAAATCCTAACGCGCGGGTGATCGCCCCCGCGCTGCCCCAGCGATCACCCGCGCCTCCCCCTATGCTCCTCTCTTCCTCCCTTTCTTCTCTTCCTATTACTATTACAGTACACCATAAAAAAATTTAAAAAAACAAAAAGTTAAAAAAATTTATGTATAGAAATACTATATATATAAAATATTTGAATTCAAATTTAAATTTGAATCGGATATAATTCAAATTCAAATTTGAATTGGGCACGTAAACTTTTGACTTATAAACTTTAGGTCTATAAACTTTAGGTGTATAGAAATACTATATATAGAAAATATTTGAATTCAATTTGAATCATATATAATTTAAATTCAAATTTGAAACGGGTATATAAACTTTAGGTCTATAAACTTTTGACTTATAAACTTTAGGTCTATAAACTTTAGATGTATAGAAATACTATATATAAAAAATATTTGAATTCAAATTCAAATTTGAATCGGATATATAAACTTTTGACTTATAAACTTTGGGTCTCTAAACTTTAGATGTGTAAACTTAAGGTGTATAAAATTTAGATACATAAATTTACTAAAATAGGAAAGTAATACGGTGCCAAAAAAAAATCAGGTAGAGAGAGGGGGGCGAATTGATTGTTGCCCCCATCTCCAGACGAGCGATCGCCCATTAAAGGCCCCGGTTGGTCACGCGCGGCGCACATCAGGGGCCCCTAGCTGCCCCAGCCTCCGTCTCCGGGGATTCCTAATTGGCACCTGGTCACGCCCGCACGTGGGCACGCAACCAGACCCACTCCCTCTCTAGTCTCTATACTACTACTCTACTGTATACTACTATTAATTATGCTATATATACTACTATTCCTATATACATATGTATATACTAAAGTATATACATGTAAACTTTGTATACATATATATAAAGTTTTTACGTATGTATATAAAGTATGTACATATGTATATTTTTAATATGTATAAACTTTTGATATATATAAAAAATATATACACGTATACAAACTTTATATACGTACGTATCAAAATAATTGAATAAACAAGAAAAAACATCACATATATAAACTGTATAGAAACTTTGTATTGTATCTATATATTAAAAACCGAAAAAATTAGAAGAAAACCAAAGAAAAACCGAAAAGAAAAAACCAGCGCCACCTACCCAAAAAAAACGTACAGAAAAACAAAAAAAAAGATAAAAGAAGGAATAACTGGCGCCACCTACCTCTTCCGCACGCCGTCCGCCGTCCCCCTCCCCGCGTGTGCCACGTGGCGCGTTACGTGGGGAGGGACGCGTATGACTAGGCGCTAATTAGGGCAATAGCAGTGCAGCTACCGTATTTGAGGAGCCAAAACTGCCCGACGCCAGTTAAACTAAGAAAGTTGTAAGAAACACCCTCCACACTGCATATGATCTATTTTATCCTTCACAGTACATGATAGTGGGGTCCCACCCGTTCTCTCTCCTTGCTTTTCATCTTTCCTCTGTCTTTGTATTTCCCCACCAACCACTCTACCCCGCCACCAGTGCCCCTCTCTCCCTCCTACCCACTACCGGGGCCCCTCTCCCTCTCTGCCGCTCTCCCTACCATCCATGTCACCGGTTCCAAAGTAGCGACGAGCTCAGCACCACGTGCGTGCGTGGATGGCGAGGATCTTGGGGCGGATCTGGAACATCGGCGGCTCGACACGTCCTTCTCGGCGACAGCACCCGGGTGGAAGAGGTGGCCGAAGCAGTGACAACGCTGGGCAGAGTGGCAGCAGGGCAACTGGATCCAACCCGGGGCAACTCTCCTTCCCCACCATCGCCGGGCAGCTCCCTTCCCTGACTACCGCGGCAGCTCCCCCTCCTCACCTACGCCTCTCAACTATCGCACGCCGCTCAAGCCCAGCTCGACAACTCGTGGTGGCGGTTGCCTCTCCCTCCACCGAGCTCTCTAGATCCAGCACGGTGGCTCGACGGCAGCTCGATAGCGCGGCGGTGGCAGGTCGAAGACTATGGTGACGGTGGCTCCCTGGTAGGCCCGAAACCCTCACCTCGTTCTCTATTTCTCCGTCCCAGCCACTGTATTCTCTATTTTCCATGAAGAATCACTGGCACGTTCTGATGAGGAATGCGCGACCAACTTAGGCTCCACGTTCCTCACTTGGGTATGGGAGAGATCGATGTGGCCATGGGCGGAGATAGCGTGGGGGTGGGGGGGGTCTTTAGATCGACCCTCCCTATCCCCTAATAAACCATTAGAGCCTTCATAATACCCCTTTAAATTCTAATCCATATATTTATAGATGAGGGGCTAATATAGATTTTGTTTGAGGTTGTTAGAAGGCCCAAAAGGCTAAGAAGGCAAAAAAAAAAAGTTCTAACCCAACTTTAAATCTCTCTTAGTTGCTCTTGGTCATTTTTATTAAGTCCCCGTTATAATTTTATCGGGCTCCGCCACTGGATGTGGCTGAAAATATTTGACGTGAAAGGTTAGGGCTGAATGTCATATGTGTGCATTGTTAATGGCCTTGTGGGGTACGTCCGCCTTTCGTGTGCCAAAAATCAAACACACAAGCGCCCACTCGTCACACGCTATACGGCACGCAACGCGAGTACGCGACACGACATTCCCCACGACACCTCTCTCTTCCTCTCGCTCTTGGTACTCTATCAATCATCGTCAGTTGAGCCTCAGCTCGCGCACTCACGAGCCGCGGCTTCACTCACCACTCCCCAGTCGCCACGCCTCGGCCCGACGGGATGGGAAGGGGAGCCCCATCCTCCCATCCGCCGCCATGGCGCCGCCTCCTCCGCTACGCCCTCCTCTGCGCCCTCCTCCCCCCCTGGTCAGTGCCCGGCTCTCCCCTCGCCCGCTCATCTCGAATCTCCATGGGCGCCTTGCTGTTCGCTGTTTTATGGGATTAGCCCGTATGTTGGTTAGCGGTTTGGAGTGGATTCAACACGTTTAGTTTCAGCTGGTTCCCCCGGCGATTATCATTGATTGGTTCAGTTTGCTATGCTCTTGCGTGTGGCCATCCAGAGGATCGAGCTGTTGTAACAGTAATAAATGCTTTTGCCAATTCTTGCTGTGAGGATAGGAGTTCATTTGGCAGAGGAGTCATTGTTTCGGATAAATAAATCTGGAAGAAAATCTCAACCCCAATTAGAACTTTTTTTCTTCGGGCTTTTGACATGCTTTTCGAACCCCAATTAAAACTTTGTGAATCAACAGCACAAACGCCATCATTGTTTGTTTATTAAATACTCTTGCAGTGGAGTTACCTATCAACGGATTGTAATTGGAGATTTGGACATACTTCTTCTGTTTCCATTTTTCATACAGTTGAAGACAACTAGTTGGCCGCACCTATGATTTATCAATGTGTGTGTGTGTGTGTTTTTTTTCCTGGAACATGTATTTTGTACCCAGTGCTTCCTTGTCCTTGATGATTAGTTTGGTTATAGGTTCATTACAAAGTATAATTACACCTGCGTACATAAAATGTGCAAATGTGTGCTCTGACAAGGGGACAACTCCAGCTTGACTGTCGCTGTTCCATCCTTTGACAACCGAGCCCATTCGAAGCAAAAGAAGGAAAGGCTTACGTCTACTCATGCTTTTACATTTCAGGGGCACTTCCGAGGCTAATGAACAACTTGCTGAGTTTCCACCAAGAGGCTGGAATTCCTATGATTCCTTTTCATGGATAGTTGATGAAAATACATACATGCAAAATGCGGAGATCTTGGCAGAAAAATTGCTCCCACATGGATATGAGGTAACCATTCAAATTGCTGGTCGGTTTCTTATTTGATAGCAAAATGAATATAAAAATATAAACTTTATCATCATTTTAACTATTTTGCATCATATTGGTGGGTAGTTTGCAGTTATTGATTACCTCTGGTACCGAAAGTATGTTCATGGGGCATACACAGATTCATATGGATTTGATAACATTGATGAGTGGGGTCGGCCATTTCCTGATCTTCAAAGATTTCCATCATCCAGAATTGATAAAGGGTTCAGTCAACTTGCGAACAAGGTGCATGGAATGGGCTTGAAATTCGGAATCCATTTAATGAAAGGGATAAGTTTACAGGCTGTGAATGGAAACACACCCATATTGGACATTAAAACGGTAATGTTTTCCTTCCTTCAAATGGAGTTGGATAACAACTACAGCCACTTTGGCAGTTATGCTTTTCCTCCACTTTTTGAGACTGCCTCAATTTTCTTATTGATCCTTTGTTGAAGTTACTACCATACCTCTGCTCTAAAATATAAGGGATTTTGGCTATGCATTTGTACTGTCAAAATCCTTTATATTTTGGGATGGAGATAATATGTTATATAATGTACATACAACAGTCAATCTTTAACCTCCAATGCAATTTTAAGATCAAATTATAAAATAGCATAAACATAACATTATGGCAAATTTTGCTATAGGACATCCAAATTTTGTGTAATTTGCTGATAGACATTGATAAAACGTGTCACGGCTGAAAGACATCCTAAAAAACTGGTAATTTGCTAGATGACACTTTTGGCTCAATTGGATTGATAAATTATTAAGAAAGACGAGAATGACCCTAAGACCAAATGCTTCAAACATGATTTTAAGGGGAAGAAATAGAAATTATGCAACTTTAAATTTGTCATCACCCCAAATACATCACTAGTATAGATTATATTCCATCTTGGCTCCAGTCTCACCTCAAAAGCTTTTGACCCTAAGGGCATTCTTGTCTTTTTGAAGAATTTCTCTCTCCAATTGAGCCGAAAGTGTCCTCCAGCAGATTACCAGTTTTTTAGAGTGTCTTTCAGCTGTGATACGTTTTTATGATGTCTACCAGCAATTTACACAAATTTTGAGTGTCATGTAGGATTTCAATGTCCTGTTGTAGCCATCCAGACAAACATTTTATCCTTTTTTTTTCTTGAGAGTGCAGGAGAACTGTGCTTCATTCCATTAAGACATATTTTATCATTGGAGGAAATTACTATTTTTTTCCATTATGTGTTATGGGCGTAAACAATGCTATCCTATTATTGATCCATGTTAACATTATGTTGTAGAATGTCTATTCAGCAGCCAATCTTTATCCTCCAATACGTTTTTAAGATCATACTGTAAAATAGCTTAAACATGTGTGTTCTGGTAGTTATGGGATAACCATTTTGGATTTCAATGTCCTGTTGTAGTCTTCCAGACAAACATATTATCATTAGTGAAAATTACTAATTTGCTCCATTATGCATTATGGGTGCAAATAATGCTATGCTATTATTTGATGATTCAAATATTTGGCTGTTTATTTTCCCTGCAAAATGGAACTCCTCTTCGCTGTGAAAAAAAGGAACTTCTCTAAAATTCTTCAAATTAATTGCAAGAAAGGGGGTTGAAATACTACAGCAAGAAAATGACCAGAAACATAAGTCATTGAACTGCTGTTTGTTGTTCAAAGTGTGTTCTGTTGGCCCTTTTCAGGGAAAACCCTACGTAGAGGATGGCCGGCAATGGACAGCTCGTGATATAGGTCTTACACATAGAACATGTGCATGGATGCCACATGGATTTATGAGTGTAAATACTGATATTGGAGCTGGAAAGGCCTTCCTAAGATCTCTTTATCAACAGTACGCTGATTGGGGTGTTGATTTTGGTATTCTTATAGCATAATTCTTCAGTTTAGTTATTACAACTGTGAGGACTGTGTAGAAAGATCATATATTAGGCAGTAGATGATCATTTTCATGTCATACCGAAACTGAAATTTATTCTGATGGTTTCATTTGTACCATTCTGTTCTGTTCACAGTGAAGGTTGATTGTATCTTCGGTACGGATTACAGCCCAAAAGAAATCATAACTATTTCAGAGGTTAGTAGCCCCATATCCTGTTGATGTCCTTTCAAATTATTACACTATTCGAATAAGCTAATTTCTAAATTGCAGCTCTTGGCAGAGCTTGACCGCCCCATCATCCTGTCCATCTCACCAGGAACCGAAGTGACTCCAGCATTAGCCAAAAACATCAGTCAACATGTTAACATGTACAGGATAACAGGGGATGATTGGGACAACTGGAAGGATGTTAGTTCACATTTTGACGTGTCTAGGTAAATTGAGCCAATATGCTCTGTCTGCAGTTTCTGACTGCAAGAATTCAATCCATTAATTAACCTTTAACTTGCTTTTTTTCTCATTATCTAAAAACGCTTGATTATTTTTCTAGTAAATAAATCATTTCTTCTTACCCCATTACATATTGTACACAGTTCCTTTGCTGCTGCAAATAAAATTGGGGCCATAGGATTACGAGGAAGATCTTGGCCAGATTTAGACATGCTCCCATTTGGCTGGCTTACAAATGCAGGTAATTATTTGCAGTTTTTCTTTAGAAAGTGTTTGTCTTGACATGCCCCTCTAACTGTTCAGCATAGATAAATCACTTATATGAAAAAAATATTAGAATCATAAATCCCTATTGAATCTGCATTTTAATACTATGGAACCTGGAACCTAGGTGTGTACATCAATATCTTGCAGAACGCTGAGTATCATCTAGTTTATATTTATGCATGGGCTATATTGTTACTTTTGTCCGTACCAAATAAATTGATGCCATTACTTCTTTTGTTTTAGAGGATTTATGCCATTAGATTTTTGTTCAGCAGAATAAAATTAATTTAAACTCAAACATAAATCTTATCCCTAACTTCATAATACTGCAACTGGATGACATATCTCGATTAAGGACAGATCACCGAACACTGAAGATTAAAATACTTGCTTGAGCAAAAGATTAACTCAACCACTCCAATTCAAAACCCTCCACTACATACCACAATTTATCCTTAGACGCATGTCTCGGCAACACAAAACAAGGGTTTTGCTCATTATAGGACTTGACCGATTATATATAATATTGAAATATCTTAACCAATATCTTCTTGGTTTATTGAACCATTCACATGTAATTGAGCCATATCAAGATTTTTCTTCAAATGTTAGGAAAGTGCTGCATATTTATTACTAAGTAACTGCTTTGTAAAGGAAAGAATCTTAGATTCCTTGAAGCATATATAATTATAACAGGAATAAACATTTTTGCTCTAATATAGGTGTCAATCAGGGTCCACATAGGCAATGTGAACTTACATCTGATGAACAGAGAACACAGGTTTGCACTTGTGGAAATCTATATCTGATATTCAATATTCTCTATCCACTAAACTCTTTTTGTTCACATGACCTCGCAGATAGCACTTTGGTCAATGGCTAAGTCTCCTCTAATGTATGGAGGAGATTTGAGGCATCTCGACAATGACACGTTAAGCATAATAACAAATCCTACATTACTGAAAATAAATCACTACAGCATAAATAATATGGAGGTACCCTGTATTTTATTCGTACTGATAGAGCATTTTGTAGGCGTAAATACAACACTAAGCTTGTACAAATTTCCAGTTCCATCATGTGCACAGTGAAAGGACTTCCAAAGAAGACAAGCATTCTAGTCGTTTCATATCCGAAGATCTTGTACACGTACCAAAGATTGATGGTGTATCTCTTGGTCTCACTGCCTGCAGTGATGACAAAGCAAATGGATGGTATATGTTTTCACAACATGGTAAATCAGATCATATATGCAGGAACTATGGGATGCAGGATGACAAAAATATCTCATTTTGCCTGGGCAAAACAATTCCTCTCCTGACATCGTAAGCACCACCCAATTTATAAATTTGGAGTAACTTAAACAGTTTTTGTGATTATATTTTCTCCATTTCAGGGATGATATAATCGTACATAATGAAGAATACCAAACAAAGTTTCACCTGGCAAATATGGACAGTGACGATGCTTGTCTGGATGCATCTGGCAGTCAACGGAGGACATCCTCAGATAGCAAGTTTCCCATGTTTTCAAGGTGCAGGTGGCATGCTATGCAGGTAAATGACAAAAAACATTCCTCATACAGAATATTAGAGTTACTGCAACCTGAATTTGGATTTGCATTTGAAAATTCCTGCTGTGTATTTTGATTATAAAATATTTGTATTTATACTGTCCTCTATTTAATTGCTTAATTTCCTCTTGGATTCTAAGAAGCTCATGTTACAGAATCAGAGTGTCCTATCAAACAAAATACATTTCTTGCTGCCAGGTCAAATTTGTAATGTTCCCTTCTATTTTTGATAAAATAGCTAAGCCCATGTTTGCTTAATCTCTTTGAACAACCTATGTGGCAAAATTTCTTCTACTGAGTTGTACTGTAGCAAGTTCTAGCAAAATGGTTACTTTTGCTAGTTGGAGATTGAATTAATGCCTTCATTACTCATGAACAATTACTTTAGATGTGGGAGCTGAATGAGAAAGGAAACCTCATTAGCAGTTACTCAAGATTATGTGCCACGGTGGAATCCAACAATAAAGGAGGTACACACTACAACATTTTATTTAGAAAATTATGGTGACTTAGTTTCAACATTATTAGATAAGCAACACAATTCTGTATGCAGTTGTAACTACAGGAGCAGTAGCACGTGCATGGATAGCAACTGGGAGTAAAGGTAGCTGATCTTTCATCTCTTACATACGATCCCGGACTGAATTTTGTTTTAACATTGCGAGGAATAAAAAACTGAATAGTAATGATAAACTTGACTGTTCCTGAAATTCTTATACTTCCTTTAACAAGGTCTGTTTGGAAAATCTGTGAAATCGTTTTTTATAATCTATTATGTGGCCCCAAAACCCTTTTTTAATATTTGAATGGTTTTTGCTTCTGTACTTTGTGAGAAAAGTTTACTACTAGTATCTAAACAGAAGTTCCCAGTGATGTAGTAAGGAATTATTGCAGTAGAACCTGTATTTTTGCCGGCAGCAGCTGTGACAGTGTATTGACGCAGTATTGTGCATAACCTTTCATCCATGCTGTTAATGTGAGATCATGTTGCTCTCTTTTCATCAAAGAAAGGTTTTATATAACAAGAGTTTCCCTAATGAAAAACATGGCATTGATCCACACATGCTAAACAGCAACAAACAGATGAATAAGTCACCCAGTTATTTATTTGGTTAGCAGTCAGTTGCTCAAGTTATCTTGATTAGACAGTACAAATATTCCCTTAGATAACTGGCCATGACTTGCTTTCTGAGCTGTAATAAACTCTTTGAATAGAGTAGTCAAGCAAGATGCAATTTCAATAATTTTTTCTATTGTATCATTAGTGTTACACTGTTACCTCATTCCTATCCACTTCTCATAAATGCAGATACATATATGTTCTAGCGGCTCAAAAGCATAAAAAGAACTCAAAACTAAGCATGAATCTGCCAACTGATGGCTTGACTTTCAAACACAAACTACTCCACTAAGTCCACAATTATGATTTAAGATCTATTCGATTCATTTAGCATTTAGCAGTTGTAGAGATTTTATAAATTGCTGCCACTTTTCTGAATATGTCACCAGACTTCAAATGTTAATCTAGACATAATCGTTTGCAGTGAGACATTTGTTTTAGTCCTATTTGTCATGCACATTAGCTGCAGCTTCTAAGAGGCGGGCTGTGGCAATATATGTCACAGATTTTTTTTTTCTGAGGGCTAATGTCTGTGGTCCATTATATAGGAGAAATATACCTGGCGTTCTTCAACCTTGACTCCATGAGCAGGAAGATAACCGCGAGAATATCAGACCTGGAAAAGGTTCTCGGGAGTACATTCATAAGAAAAGACACGTGCAGCTGCACTGAAGTTTGGAGCGGGAGGAATTTCGGTCGTGTGGAGGAAGAGATTTCAGCGGTAGTTAAATCACATGGTTCCATGGTGTTTGAAATTACATGTTGAGGTATCCCATAATTCTCCTATTGCGCTTACTGAAGCATGACAGGATGGAATAGATAAGTAGGGAAAAGAGCCTTGAGCATGTATCAGGTAAAGCTACCAAAATGAACATCCTTTAAAAGGCTGGGGTTTCAGTTTAAAATCTGGGGGTTGTGGGCTTTAAATGAGGCCTAAAAGAACAAAAAAAATTCCGGAATACGGAGCTATATATGCAACACCACTCACTAATGAAGGAACCAAATGCGAAGTTATGTAACACTGACAGCAGAGCGGACACAAGTGATAGCAGCCGCGACGGACTAACATCATCCCGCGGCCTTCGACAAAAATGAAATTTCCACTGAGCAACTCTACCTAATCAAAATTGGCACAAAAAACCAGGAGCTCAGGAGCTCTCAGTTAGTATCAACACGTTTAATTCCATAAGCTCTACGCGAATAATGGCTTGCCATCTTCACATGGGACTGGGAGTACTAATTACATTACGGATTTCATGGCGAATACTGGAGCCAGTCCTTGGCGCAGAGGAGAGCCTCCACGAGTTCAGGGCGCAGTGAGCTCCGGTAGTCGTCGAGGCTCCTGCTTCCATTGTCAGGTAAGAAAACCGAGCTGCCGACGCCGACCGTGGACATCGGGATGGCCAACACGTCCCGTGCCATCCTCGACAACGTCGGGTACTTGAGCGTGTTGTCCTGCCACCATTTCAGGACGTCGAAATCCGGGGTGCGCTGGGTGAGGGCCTCTTCCAGATAGAGCTCCAGCTCGTGCTTGAACGGTTGGCCCATGGTGGTCACCTCCGACAGGTACATGTCAAAGTCCACGAGCCCAGCGCCAGCCGCCGCCGTCGACGGTGAAGCCGTCGCCGGAGCGCCGCCGGTCTCGATAAAAGGCAGACCGTCAGCTGGCACTTGGTCGACGTAGATCGGTGACAATGGGAGTAGCTCAGGCTGCGCAGCGTACTCCTTGTAGAGGTCAAGGATAGCATCGTCTACCAACTTGACATACTTGGCTGCATCTGTTGGGCCATAGATTTTGGAGTAGGCGAACTCGACCATCTTCATCTTGAAGCGTGGATCCATGGCAACGGCAATGGCCAAGACGACGTTGCAGTCCTTCCAGTACTTGTCAAACTTCTCGTGGATGCCGATCACAATGCCACGGATAACGTCATCTCCATGAGCCATGCCATTTTGAAGCTCTAGCTGAAGGACCCATGCGTCATGGAAGAACATGTTTGCAGTTTGATGGTTTCCTTCTGCTGACATGATGTTAAGCGTGAACGCATATAGTAGCTTCAAGAAGCCACACGCGGCCTCAACTTTCTTCCAGTCCTCCGTCGAAGGCGCTGTACCGTAGTTGTCATAGTAAGACTCCAGTAGAGTGAACACCTGTCTGTAGTCCAGGGCAGCCAACAGCATCAGATAAGTGGTGTTCCACTCGGATGTAACATCCAAGCACAGGCTATTGTTACTAGTGATCTTCAGTTCCACGGCAATCTCTGCAAACTTGTTCTCATGGGCATCATCGGCTTTTATGAACTTTATACTCTCACGGATGAGGTAGATGACGTTGTGAACTGAAGCAAGGACACCATGTGCAACTGCATTTAGAATGTTGGCATAGCACCTCACAGCAAAGGTCTGGCCCTTCAGCATGAGAATGTTGTCACCTGAGAGATGGTTTCTCAGATTTGCGCTATAAATATCGTGCGACGAGCAATCGTGCTCCAAGGTGATGGTGAACAGCTTGTCCTGCATGTTCCAATCAGAGAGGCACTTGATGATGGCTCTACTAACTGCATTCTCTGACTGAGGCCAAGGTGCCATCATGACTTTGAGCACTCTTCTATGCAGCCTCCATTCCGAGTCAATGAATTGTGCAGCAAGTGAGATGTACCTAATACTTTGGTTTGTGGTCAATGACCCTACAGTGAGGCTGATCCTTCCAGGAATATTTGCAAGTGCTTGCTGCAGGTGATCCTTTTCCTTGAGATAAATAGCATACACCTCAGTTTCAATTGTACCAATGTCAACCATCTTGAAATTGGGTTGTACACTATCAACAAAAGATAGGAAGGCTGGCTGCTGAACGATGTGAAGTGGATAGTCATTCAGAATGATCATCTTCGCCAATCGTAAGCAACTACGTTCTTGGTCAAATGAAGCATTTTCGTTGCTGCTATTATATGTAGTGTAGCGCCTGCTCTTTTGCCGATCTTTTAACACACGGCACCATTCTGCAATGTGCCTGGTGAGATGGCTAGTACCTGAATTCTTTGAGCCTGAACTGTATGCTAAGGACTGGTTGCAATGTATGCAGCTTGCTCGTTTGCACCCGTCAGAGACATCTACAAGAGTGAAGTGTTCCCAAATTGCTGACTTTCTCTTCTGGCCTCTTGTGCTGGCTGATGGTATCACCTCGGCATGAACGGCAAGCTCGTTACCATTGAGTATCTCGTTGTTACCGTGGACCATAGTGGTATAGCCATGGCCGTGCATCATCTCATTGTCATTGCTGATCAAAGGCTTAGGTATCATCTCATCCATGTGGGGAGGCTTTTACTGCTACAACCTAAAATCCTGTCATTTAAGAAGTTCGCACAAACAAAACCATGTCAGTCAGATCATAGCAATAATCAGTTTGTAAAAAAAACGTTTGGGAATGATGCCACAATCTGTCAGAGTGTCAGTGTTTCACAAAAAGCATAACAGAAAGGGTGACAAAATTTAAGTGATGTGCCAGGTTATAAACAAGATCATCATCATACAGTTCATTTTAAAAATATGATTTAGACAACACTAATTTGGACTTGTATGTTTAATTTGCAAAGTCATAAGTGGTTGTCAAAAAGATCATGTACAAATCATAATGCCTCGCAATGAACAAGCATCTTCTTCATTGGGATCACTGTGAACAAGCATTTGGCTATAGTCAGCAAAAAGTTAAATTCACCGATAGATTGCAAATGGAAAACCTCAGGGATCTGTTGCAACTTGCAACAGATAAAGTACACAAAACTACAAGAGCAGAAAATTCAACCGACAAATAATGGCTGGCACATGTAAATCTTTTCCGATACTATGGACGTACCGTTACATATGCATCGGCGCCGGCAGAATCTAAGCGATACGCTACGAACTATCCCTGAACTGATCAAGTGTAAGCACAGGTTTTGAAGTTTTCTAGAATATATGCAAATTCCCTGACGCGTGGTAGACAATTAAATCAGAGCTTGTCACAACTTCAACTTGTTTATTGGATACGTGTAACCAATATCAATAAGGGATTGTTCGTTTAATCCCCAAGACGAAGGGTTTGGAGGGGATTGAGGGGGTGTGAAATAAGTCCTCTCAAAATCCCTCTCAATTATCTTTTGGAAGGAATTAACTGAACAATGCTCAAGGAAAGCAAATATATGAAGTTAGTCAAGATATTTCAAAAAAAAAAGAAAAAGAAAAAGACACTCAATGAATCCTGTAATTTTGATATAGAAAAAAAAGAGAGAGCTATGGAACAAACCCATCTCATCTTGCAGAAAACAAAACACATATCTGACGGTCACCAGTAGCAAATTAAACACAAGTCGAGTCTATCAGCCGTGGGATACAGCAAATTTAAACAACATAACTAAAAGATTCAGCAATTTCCGCCAAAGAAATATACTAAAGCATCCAACCAAGGCAACCGCAGTTAGCAGAAGACAACATTACCGTGACAAGCGCGGCTGGTTTACTCACCAGAATCATAATAACATTCTACAGGTTCCACAGGAGAGAAGCATGAACATGATAAATAAACCTATGAAATCCACAAAAACACACAAGCAGCTAGCCGCACCCACGAATTTAGGAAAGAAACGAAGGCCCCCCCTCCCCTGGCTGCCCCTCCGCCTCCCCCCACATCACGCCTCAACACACACGATCTACCAAAACACAGAAACCCAAACCACCCCCCAACAACAACACAAAACCAAACCCCTCGAATAGTAAAACCACTGGAATTCGTCGACCATGCGAACGGCAGAAGAGAGCGCAGCGCACGGAGGAAGGGACAGAGAGAGAGAGAGAGGTGGCGAGGCGAGGCGAGGCGGATCACCTCACCTTGGGCGGAGGTCGGGGGGAGTCGAGGTCGTGTCGCGGGCTCGGCCCAACAAGGAAGAGACAGGCCCCGCCCGATCGAGACAAAACCCTAGCGAGCGAGCGAGCGAGATCGATCTGCAGACTGCAGTTGGTGCCGAGGAGAGACGAGGGAGAGACCTTCGATCGGATTGGTGTTTGCTGCGGCGGCGGCGCGCGGGCTTTTAATGGGCTCTCGGCACGGCCTGCTCCTCCGAGGATGCGTGACGCTGCAGGTGGGCCACACACCCCGTGTCTATCCTAGAGTTTGATGTGTTTCCATTGCAAGTACGAGGCGAAATACTACTACTGATTTTTTTTTTCTGTTTCCGTGTTTTTCTTGGTAAGGCGTAACGTATTACAGACGTTATATATAAGGAAAGTAACAACTGGAGTGCTTTCCCAAATAATCCAGTACTCGTGTTTGATTAGTATTCGTATTTGGGAAGGGTGAATTAGCCTATACGATTTCTGAACTTCTGCTTCATGATTAATTAGTTTATGACGTTTTATATTGTCTAAACAAGCCATCATGTTTACAATATGGTTTAATAAAGTCATCGACCAATAAAAAATACCACAATGCGATGCTATGTCATCCACGCATGCATATAGTCTGAATTAAAATACTCCCTCCGCTCCTAAATATTTAACGCTGTTAATTTTTTAAAACATGTTTTTTTTAAAACATGTTTAACCGTTCGTCTTATTAAAAACTTCTGTGAATATTATTCAAAAACTTGAGTAGTAATACTATATTTAACAGTGAATCAAATTATAGGAAAAAATTAATAATTACTTAAATTTTTTTTAATAAGATGAATGATCCAATATATTTAAAAAAGTTAATGGCGTCAAATATTTAGAAACGAAGAGAGTATCTATTCTATCCTCGCCTACATACCATATAGAAATAATAAAGAAAGAAACAAGAAAGGGAAAGGAACATAAAGGATTATCATATTGTGTGTTTTTACTATAATACTTCCGTTTCATGTTATCTTTTTTTTCCTTTTTAACATATGGTTACAATGGACATTTCGATTCTAGCAATGTACGCGAGAATGATATGGCATTACGATGTGACATTTTACGAGTCTTGGATTATATTAAGCTGCACTATAAACTTTGAAGACCTATATAAATAATATAAAACATCATGGACTAAGGCTGTATTCTTTTTTTCCTCTTTCCCAACTTATTTACCTTATTTTTCGCGCGCACATTTTTCAAACTACTAAACGACGTATTTTTGCAAAAGTTTTCTATATGAAAGATGCTTTAAAAAATCATATTAATTTATTTTTCTAATTTTTTAAGGCTAATTCTTAATTAATATCACTATAATCATATTGCTTTATTTTCCGTGTCAGGAGCCTCTGACACGGCCTAAATTGACACTGCAAGAGAAGTTTAAGTATAGTTTTATACTATTAGCTATTCACCCATATGGAAAAGATTAGAGATTAAACTTATATCTTTATCTCTATCTCCACTCGATTTTCATCCAAACACATTGATTTGGGGAACTATTTTCTTCTGTAGCGTCAGTTAATATCAAAATTAACTGGAGAATGTTGGTTGTTTTATCGATCTACTACCAATACGTATTGGGAGGAGAGAAAACCGTTGGTTTCGTTCCCTATCAAGAAAGAAAATTAGAGATAAAATTTTGTTTTGTGCGATCGATAAAAAAAATAATTCAAATCAAATTAGAGATAATCTCCAAGCCCACCAACATCACTACAAAATGAAGAGGAGGAGAGGACAGAACGGACACCTGAAGTATCGATTCTATAATACCCTAAAAACAATCACCTAATCAATTTGACAGATTTGACACTGGAAGGGTTCCGTGTCACCGCGTGTGGCTATCTTCGGGTAGTGTTGCTAGCCTAAGCTACATCAATAGAGAACACCGGTGACCTCAAGCAAAGATAAGCCAACGTCTCTACTTTGCTTACCGCAGAATCAAAAGAAGAAGAAAAGAAGACGACGGGGAATAACATGAAGAAAGAAGAAGAAATAAAAGAACTTTGCTTCAATGGCTTTACAACAAAATCAGTAGATTAAATGAATAATTTTCATATTAAACAGGAATGATAATGTTTAGGCCAAGACTTAAGTGATTAAGTAAATTGAACTCCAAAACAGTGACGGTGCGGTGACCTGGATGCTAAGGTTTCACCACCGTTGGTCGAGGTTTAGAACTCACGTGTGCTGCTAGGCCTAATAATGGCATAATCTGTCATGTCGCATGTCACATCGCATTCTTTTTGAACTCAGTCTCCTGTGGATAAACTTTGTTTAATTGATAAATTCTCTTAACCCAATATAGTAAGAATACAACTATTGGCGACTTGATAATTTCGATCGGCCGATTCCAAGACTAAAGCCGATACTGACTTTAGGCCGATGATGATTTTGGGGCTTACCAAAATTTTGACATAAACACTACCGTGTCGCTCCCTAGCTGCACGCCGTTGTTGGTTGTCGCACTGCCCCGACGCCATCTACCGCTGCCTCTCAAGACTTGGCCGCCCGGTCAATGCCTTGATGGTTGTCTCCGTCACCGCCTCTGCTGCCATCCAGGCACAAGTGTGCCCAATCGTGCCGTCACCGTAGCCGTCGTCGTCCCCGCCACCGCCTACCACCCACCGAGCGGATCTGGAGGGATCCGTCCTCCGCAACTCATCCGACTACAGCCTGACCGCGATCTCTCCGTCATTCTCTACCGCCCAGCCGCTGCCTCTACAACTTCTGTTGCCTGACGGTGGCTGACGCAATACCCCCTGACATCCCCTCCTGACATCCCCTCACTGAATCCAGCCATGGTGGCTCGGATCTAGACCGTCTCTACCTTGAGCTTATGTGTGCCCCAACAACAACACAATTTAAGAAGAGAAGAATTCCCGTCACCGTCATTTTTTACAGCCAGCCAGCTTTTCGGCGGGCTGCTCAGGCAATGGCGAGGTGGAGGGGAGGAGGGCGGCGGCGGGCGGCGGCCAGCGGCGCGTAGGGATATGCCCGCACCGCCCTAAGGCTGAAGCGATGCGAGCACATTCATTACACACAATTTCAAGTCTGCACTGCAACTTGTGCGCAATGGGCACCAGCAACCGTCGTCCAGGCCTTGAGCGGTCTCAAGTTGGGCATGCACATTTCTCAGATCTTCCATTTTTTTTTCTGATTTTCTTATAATCCTTTTCCTCGATTTTAAATTTTTTTTCCAATTTGTTTATCAGTTTACGGTGCTCTGCGCCTCTGCCACGAACAACTGCCCACAAGTCCACAACAGAAAGGCTGACACCATCGCGCCGTCCGTACTCCAACCACAGCACAAGGAGCAGAGCTTTGTCCCCTCTCGCGAGGACAAAATCACGGCACCCGGTGAGATAGTAGTAGTAGACTTGGCGTTCGGTGCTCTGTTCCTAGGACTAGGCTGGGCGCGTCCCCATGGCCGAGGAGGACAACCTGGCGCTCTCTGTCGTCTGCGAGCGCTCGCCGGGGACGGCCGTGGAGGCGGCGTCCGGGCGGCCGCCGAAGGCCGGCAGCGAGCGCGCGCGCCGGCAGACCATGTCCAGGCTCTACGACGAGCTGGGCGCGCTGCTCCCCAACCTCCCCCCGCGGGTGAGTTCGCCCTGCTCGTTGGCTAAGGTTCTTGCCCGATCGGGATCACGCCGCGTGACCTCCTCGCCGGGGGAAAATTAACCGATGTGTGTGGTGTGCAGGCGTCGACGACGCGGATCGTGGAGGAGGCCATCGCGTGCGTGGGGGAGCTGCGGGCGAGGACGGCGGAGCTCGAGGCGTACAGCGCGGTGGCGGCGGCGGCCGGGCGGGCCGCGCGCGACGGACCAGCCGAGGTGGTCGCGTCCGGGAAGACGTCGTGCTTCGCCGTCCGGCTGCGGGCGGCCCGCGCCCGGCCGGGGGCGCTGACGCGCGTGCTCGAGGTGTTCCAGCGCCACGGCGTGGCCGTCCTCGCGGCCACCGTGGCGCGCGACGGCGAGGAGACGGCGGTCACGGTCACCACGGCGGCGGTGGCGCCCCGGGTCCTGGAGACGATCAAGGCGGAGATCATCTGCGCCGCATGATCTGTTTGATTTGCACAGTTGCACCTGGATATATATATATCTTCGTTTAGGCCCCTCTTTTAACTTTTTGGTAGACAATTTTGGGTGCATGAAAACAATACAAGATGAACAGAAAAGGAGCTTTGGTTAACTTAGTTGCACACTTGCAATTTCTTGTTCAAAGAAAATTTTACGGATTTACCTTTTGTTTTGTTATTTTGTTTTCACTTTTATATGGGGAAAACATCTTAGAAATGTTACGCGATGACTATGTTGCATATGCCAAATTAGCTGGCTGGAGAAAATATACAATTGTTTCAACTAAATAAATATTGGTCCACTGCAAAGCTATGAGTTCATATACACATCTGATCTAATTCAGGGTTCTGGGATTCGGACTGAGTGGGCTGAAATTCGGTGAAATTCGCCCATTTCGGTCCAACCCAAGACAATACTAAACCGGCCAAAAAAAATTCAGCCCAATTTGAATTTTCAGCCCAGCCTAAGGTCCAAAACAGCCCTCAAGTATCTTCCCTAGTATAAAAGAGCAAGTCTCATACCAAAGAAACCCTAACCCACTCATTCTCTTCCCTGTCCTCTCCCCGTGGTGGCAGCTGGTGAAGAGACTCCATCACTCCAAGCCGGAGGAGTGGAGCAGCAGCTCCGGCGTCCTCCTCTGTCTCGCTCCATTTCCCCCTGTTCCCCTCCACCATCTTCCTTGAGTGCCCAATCCACATTCTCCTTATGGTGATTTCGTGCGGCAGCGGTGGCGTTGGTGGTCAAGGCAACGGCGGCATCAGTCGGACGAGGGACAAGGGCAACGCTACTGCACGCAATGGTGTATTTTTTGGATGCATGTATGATGGTGATTGAGCTAGTGGCAGTAGCAATTGACGACAGTTACATGACTAATATTTATTTTGGATGTATGGTTGGTATTATTTTGGGTGTATGTATGGCTGGATTGTAATTATTTTAGACCTTAGATATGGTGATGAATTATACTAATGGACTACACAGTTATGAACTTGCATGCTAAGTCTATGTATGTTGTTATGAACTTGGTTGTTAGATCTATGCATAAATGCGTGTTAAATTGTATTTTGGTGGTGTGTTGATGCTTGTCATGGTTCTCTGATCATTTTACCCAATTTTTTTCTGATTGTTTGAATTTTGCACCAAATTTGGTCAAATTTCATCCGAAATTTCCGAAATTCATCCATTTCGGTAGGTCCCAAAATTTTTACGCTATCGAATCCTAGAATTTCTAATTCATAACTCAATATTTCCTCGGGAAAAAAAGTGAAAGCATATATACTCAAAGTAGCTTCGGGAGATAGAGAGGACGAGCTATGTAGGCTAAAGCTATCTCAAGGATACTCTATTCTTCAGCAGAGGGAGATTTATACACATTTTCTTCAGCACAGGGAGCTTCTCGCCTTGATAAAAGCATATGCTCTTCCTCCTGATCAACAGCTTCATTGGATTCAGCTGCTTGTCCTGCACGCCAAGAACAGCTAATACACAATGTCACTCTCCCAGCGCAATGCCAGAACTCACCACGTAGTGATCAACATGGAGGAGATGAGGGAGGAAGATCCCGACCATCACAACCATGAGCCAACAGATGGGATAGCAGGAAATCGGCAATCTATGCACATCAGGGTACCATTGTTGGGGGGTCTTCTTCTTCTTCTCATTTACCCACCCCCCCACCAAGGTCATCATTCCCAGGAAGCCGGTTCAAGGAGTGCTGCTTCTTTGTCTTGGAGGCGCTCTGGGAGTAATATGGAGAATGCAGGGTACTCACCTGCTTCAAGGATGGCTAGATCGCCTGGCCATCGTGGGCGAGCAGTGGCTAGGTGGCGTCCAGCAAGAAACCAGGCTGCAGGTATCTCATTCAGGCTCTGTTGGTGCTCCTCTCCAATGTCTGCTGTGGGGGGAAATGTTCATGGGGCTGGGTCCTACTGCTTTGGGTTCTGTGTCTGGCGGAAGAAACTCTTCCCAAATGGTTGCTGGCATTGCCATTCCTGGAGATGGTCGACAGAGGTCTAGAACTGATGCTGATAGGGCTTTGGCGCTGTGCCCAAAGGCGCCACCCAAGCCATGATGCTGAGCTGGAACTGCCGAGGGATGGGAGGACACCTCGGAAGTAAAAAGATGCAACACCTCCAAAATCTGATTCGTTCCACATAGGCACAGGTGATATTTGTATCAGAAACAAAGATCTCTGTTATTTCTTCTGATGATCTCACTAATGCTTTTCCTGTTGATCATAGTTTTGTTGTCCCAGCTGATCGCAATTCTGGTGGCCTTTGGTTAATGTCGACGAATGAGATGGATCTTACCGTAGCTATGTCTAGTCCTAATTATGTGCTTGCTTTTGGTGTACATAACCCAACTAATATGATGTTTAATCTCCTTTGTATCTATGGAGATCCTACTCACCAAGCTAGTACTACTATCTGGAGAGAGGCTACAAATTTTATTGTTCAAAGGAGCCATAGACCGACCTTTTTGTATAGGTGATCTTAATGATATTATGTATGATAATGAGAAGCTTAGTACTACTCCTGCTAATACTTTTAGAATATCTCAATTTCACCATCATATTAAGAATCTTGGTCTTATTGATCTTGGTTATAATGTTCCTGCTTACACTTAGTCTAACAAAAAATGCTATGTGAATCTCGTGAACTAATTAAAATGACAAAAAATGGTCCTGCTTACATTTCCTATGTGGGTTTAGGAAATGCTTAGCCATGCTTAGATGAACTAGTTCACTATGTGAATCTCGCATATATCTTATATCTTGGATTAATGATGATGACTTTGGACATGGATCACCATGATATTAATTCAACTAAAATATGCCTAAAGGTGAGTTGTGGGTGCATGGTTTTGATAGATGCACCCATGGCAATTAAAGACCGGTTTGCGGGAAATCCCTGGAAGACTTACCATGCGTACCACAAGCCAGCGTGGCCAACGGCTGGGCTTGCAATATAGCTCGACCTTTCCTAGGCACCGAGGCAAGGGTGGACATAATAGAGTTGGGTGAGCCCTAGCTTAAGGGTTGATCAGCTACCGGATTTACAGCGGTGCACAGGGGATTGTGCACAGGGGATTGTCCACCTTGGCTTAAGGGTGGGGGAGAAACCTTTGTGTGGTGTGGATGGTTAGGGGATGGTTATGAGAAGGGCCCTGTCATAGTTCCTTACCGGTAAGTTGTGGTGGCACGCTGGTGCACGGAAACGCATCGTGGGGCTGTGTCATGTGGGTACAGTTAAACACCTCTTGCCAGAGTAAAACTATTCAAATAAGTGTGCTGATATGACCATGACTACTATGGATACAACCATTGCTCACATCATATACCAACAAGAAGACATCAAGATCAAGTCCTCCATGTGCTGGAATCCAATTCGGCCACCTGCTACATTGCTAACTTCAAATGGCCACCAAATCTGCATACGAGCTCTGCTTTTGGCCCGTGAGTACTTAATGGAAAGCTCTTGGAGACCCCTTTCCAACAGATCTAGCCTCATCTCCATATTCCATCTTAATGGTCCATAATCACAGAAACAAGGTGCTGCATCACCTATAATGGGCCCATGGGCTTGAAATTTCATCTGGGACTCCGGCCCATGTGGGGCCCATGCGGGGTGTGCCCCAACCTGGTGGAGCATGACCTAGGGGATCCTCTTGGTTGTCCCCCCACCTCCTTAAATAGATGTACTCCTTCAGGTTTTCTTGGGTTTTCTTTAGATTAAAGTTTAGCCATTGCTACTTGCTTACAGCGCGATTGTCGGCTAGACCGCTGTTGGTATTTCTTAACGATATTAGTAGAAATATAATTCTCAGCAATGGCGCAGAAATACTTCTGGTATATTATGGTTATAGAGTTCATCCGCAAGCGCACGGATATATCATTGTAGCATTTCACCCAAGAGTATTCCAAGGGTATCGTTTTTGTTTAATCCCGTGGGAAGATTATAATAGAGAGAATCGTACTAATAATTTATATATTACTTGTAATAACCAAAGTCTAAGCAGGTGTTAACATAATTCCAAGGGCAGAGTGACACTAAGCAGAAGCATTTATACTCTCATTCATGATTATCTAAGCTAAGTGGAAAGAATATAGAAAGATCATACTCCTATACTTCTAGTATACATATTATACATACGTCCTAGTTATATAATTACTTAGATAATACCATCTTTCCGATGTCCTCCTGGTGCTTCGAGAAGCCACCCCTGATTGCCTTCTTCCTTACGACAATCCGTCATGACCATCTAACCGAGGCTAAATACGGAGGAGTATCCTCTCCAGGAAATTAACTTAGGACTATATACACGCGCGGAAGAATACCCATACTGAGCTGTCACCATCAGCGGCCCACCTCGCTTCCGTAGCATATAACCCCAAACAATGATATCCAGCAATCTAAACACCACACTTAAATTACCAAATACTACTCTAATATCATCGTCATGACATAGAGTCATCGTAAATACAATCATTATACCTACACCATTGCATCTCCTAGATAAGCTAGCATCATAATGTATATGACTCGGATATATAATAAAGTTGGTATTCATATACTCGGAAAGTAGTACAATACCAAAGTAGTATAAAGAAGAATATTCTAAATAAAGTACAAGTCTTACAAAAGAAGGAAAATCTACTAGAGCCATACCCGAATTATTCCGAAGACTCCGAGGACTGAAGATTCTATTCTATTTCTATTCCACTATACTCTAGAGACTATACTAAACTTGAGAGATGAATGAAACTTCTTGCTTGAGGTGTGTCTTGAAATGGAGAGAGTGAGGGGTTTATATAGACTGGTAATGATAGTTATGACGGTTGGAAAGGTTGGTAATACCCTCCAACCGTCATTGGGGATCAATCCTAGCCATCCATCAAAACCCTGCATCGAACGGAGTCACGGTGGGTTCGCCCGAACTATGGGCTGGGCCAGCGTGGCCCAATTTCGGCAGGTGGCCTCCTCTTTTGTTCCCATATGCAGACTTGTGAATTTTGGTCCAATTGGTCATGTTATTTCTGCGTTCTTGTCCCATTCATTGATAAGTCTGATTCTCGACATCGTCCGATTGATTGATCGCCTTTTTTGATGTCGATTCTCCTCCATTTTATGTTCATTCTCTGCAAGAGGTTAGTAATCCTAGTGCTAGTGGAATATTTATTAATTAAACACAAATACTCATTGCAAGCATAACTAGTTCTCCTTTATGTAGGTAGTATTGACGGGCGAAACTGATTGATAATGACCGTCAACAAAACCCCCCAAAGCTTGAACCTTTGCTCGTCTCGAGTAAAGGACGAAAGGAAGCAAAGACATGGTTGTTGATCAGGAGTTGCTACTATGTTGTATATCTCAAATGTACAGGTGCAAGGTATGTATACTCTCTCTTGAATTAAATAATTTTTGGCACGGTGGCTTACCCTTACCCATGATTCCCACGAGACACTGCCTTTCCTTGTCTTGAGTGGTTGAGAGACAGAACAGCAATTAGAGCACTAATCACCCAATATTTATTTAACTTTTATTCTAGAAGTTTTCAAATGATTTTGCAAAAGAAATCCAAGTTCCTCAAATGATTCACTCGATCTCTCCAAGTGTATCAATATGAATTCCTCACCAATTTGCCTTTTTGATTCCTACTCTAAGGTTGATATGTGGAGCTTGGTAGGGATCAAACATGGCATACTTGGATTCACATTTATTACTAAGCCAAAAACTTAGACTAAAATTGATGGCTAAACATACTCAAGATCAAGATCGTGCAAAGTGTGTGTGATATATGGTGGAAATGAAATGTAGAAAATAAAAAAAAATGCTTCTCCTTTGTGCATAATTTCTTCTCCAAAATCCTTCTTTTATAAATAAGGAGAGGGCATGGCTACACTATTTTCTCTATTTTTTTTCCATCATCATGCTCATAATTGAGAGAGCATAACCTTATTATTTCATAACTATGCCTTTCCCTCCCTCTTTTCTTTTCTTTTTTTTCAAAAAGGATTTTCTTTTTCGGAGAAGAAAGCACATAAAAGCATGGAGAATTTGTTTTGATGGTGGTATGGAAATGGAATGGATATATGCTAGCTTCCAGTGTAGAAGTTTAGCATGTGCCTATATGTGGGTGTATGATCTTGATCTTAGAGCATGAAAAGAATCTACACAAGCCACAAGAATTTTACAAATTTCAATGGAATTGCAAGTAACCAAAATGTATATGGCTTAATCGATATGAATATTTTTGGTTGTGGTGGGAATTTACATCAATTGAGGAACTTCATGAGTTTATCATTTTGAAAAATAAAACATCCAGAATTTAAGTCAAACTCAGACTAGGATTATAGCAACCCTTATTTACTATCTCATATCTCGCAACAACTTAGACACAGATTAGCAAAGTGCAGCTCACTTACCTCAAGTTCCCGGATAATTGTTGGCTACTCTTATTCAATTTTTGAGAGAGTACTTAACCATGAACCCATATATGAGAGATATAAAGCAATCATTTCAACAAAGAGAACTAGGTTGTCTTACCTAGCATAATAATATCTAACCTATCTTGTTGGTATTTTCTATTTTGCAAATTTTTATGTTTTTTTAAGTTTATAAGATGCAAGTGGAAAAACAAATATGCAATTGGAAAGGGAAATATGCAATGTGATACAATTACTCTAGTGGGGGGAGAGACGTCTCCCCCCCTCCCCAAGCTTGGCTTTCGCTCAGGGTCCTTGATAAGGATTGAATCCCTAGAAGTGGAAGTACGCTTGAAGGTCAACGTGCTGTTGCTGCATCAAGTTGTTGATGTTGGTGAACTGAGCATCAACATTTTGTTGCCATTCTTGCGTCTGTGCTATGTGTTCCTCGAGGTTGTAATGGATCTCTCCCATTTGCATATCAAGAGTATTCATTCTCCTGGTGATTTCACCCAAGTCCCAACGAGAGAAACTTGAGCGCCATTCACCGGGAGATGGAGGTATACCGCTTATCTAGGGGACAGAGTGTTCAAGCCTCCCCATTGTTTGTCATGAGGCACCAGCCATCGGCTCTCACTAGCACTTTCCCAGCCCGAGCCTCCAATGCTATGGTGTGGAGCTTGGGTCCATCCGGACGCATCCCCAGTTGGCTCCCAACCAGCCTCATACATCAGTACGAGTGTTGAGGATGTTGAACCTTCGCGTTCATTTCTTGCCGTATTGCGTGTCTCCCTATATGTTCCACCTGCACGAGATTCTTCTATGGTCTGCAGGGGAATGATTAGCTCATGATAGTTGTATAAATGACATCCCGCGTTAGGCAACGGGATTTCATTTGTACAACCGGGGAAAAAGATTCTATTCTATTCTATTTCTATTCCACTATACTCTATAGACTATACTAAACTTGAGAGATGAATGAAGCTTCTTGCTTGAGGTGTGTCATGAAATGGAGAGAGTGAAGGGTTTATATAGGCTGGTAATGACGGTTATGATGGATGGAAAGGTCGGTAATACCCTCCAACCGTCATTGGGGATCAATCCCGGCCGTCCATCAAAACCCTGCATCGAACGGAGCTGCAGTGGGTTTGGCCGAACCATGGGCTGGGTCGGCCTGGCCCAATTTCGGCAGGTGGCCTGCTCTTTTGTTCCAATATGCAGACTTGTGAATTTTGGCCCAATTGGTCGTGTTATTTCTGGGTTCTTAGCCCATTCATTGATAAGTCTGATTCTCGACATCGTCCGATTGATTGATCGCCTGTTTTGATGTCGATTATCCTCCATTTTATATTCATTCTCTGCAATGAGGTTTGTAATCCTAGTGCTAGTGGAATATTTATTAATTAAACACAAATACGCATTGCAAGCATAACTAGTTCTCCTTTATTTAGATAGTATTGACGGGCGAAACTGATTGATAACGACCATCAACAACCGCCCGTCTATTTGTCTTCGGAACCCCAACTTATCATTTGTATTCAATTCCTATTTGCAATTCAGATTGCTTTTATCTTGTTCTTGCTTGTTTCTTCGATTTTCTTGTAGGAATAAGGTTGATCTGCACCGACATATTCTTGTACGGTTGTAGTCAGATCGTCAATTCTTCTCCCAACTCACCGAAAGATCGGGCCAATCATAGCCATGAGTCTCGAGTGGAACTCAAGGTTTATGACGTGCTCGCGGCTATGGGCAATCAACTAGCTTCACCGTGATTAATCCCATCATTTATAATAATTTGACTTAATGAACCAGCATAGTTCAGGTGTTTGGTTGGGCTTGTCGCAATGTGGTTTAGCGTTGGACAATGATTGTTAATATTTCTTAATGTACTTCAATACTTTTACTACTTTCAACTACTTGCTCTATAATTGCTTTATGCAAAAGAACCCCTAGCCTCCGTGGAAATCCTTGCATCATACCTCCTTTTGATATGACTTGTTGAGTACCGTGGGTAGTACTCAGTCATGCTCTATTTTCCGCCCACCTTAGAGATGGATTACTACACGGATGGAGGTAACTCGGAGGAGTAGGCTTGGTCGATGCCGTCAGGGATGCCTATGGAGTGGAATTGCCACACTACTAGCATAAGTTATCTTAAGTTTAGCTAGCATTACCTTTCCGTTGTGTTTGTAAGACTTTTATTATGTTTTGTAAGGCGTGGATATATATGTCAACTTTGTAATTTGTGTACGCTAGCTGGTCATGGACAGGGATTTAATACACATTCTTCTTGGGAATTCTGGTTCGTGAACTTCTGGGCGTGACAACATGAGAAAAATTATCTACAGTAAAAGTTACTATCTCCGTTCTCAAATAGATGTCGTCATTGAGTCCATGTAGTCAAACCTCAAAACCACAAATGATTAATAATTGCAAACACATTATTATTTGACATAAGCAAATGATATTGGTAGATTTGTCATAAAAATAACTTTCATATAATTATATTTTTAATAGCTTTTATAAACATATAGCTATAATAAGTAGTTATGAAACACGCTTATTGGAGAATGTATCAATATACAAAATGACAAGTTAGAAAGAGCAGAAGGTAGTATATCAAAACTTCTACACAACTAAGAAAGGTGTGCACCTACACCATAACCATTGCATAAACATGAAGAACAACATACTACTTATAGAAACTATGCATCAGTTATGGCATGCCACGACGCATCAAGGGCTGAGAGTCATACATTTGAATAGGTAATTCAAATTTGTTATTACTAAAGCTTCCTGGTTTCATGCCACACGCTACATTTCGAAAACTAGGTAATTTCCACAAACATTAGTTTGCAAAGATACAACATGCAACTCACATGAGACATGGTATTGCTGTGAGGCACACACGGTGTGCTATGAGTGACCTGTCAAGAGCTCTGCACCATCAACCAAGAATTTACAGTTTCTGATTCGAATGAAGAATGCCAAATATGTGCTTGCTCCAGCTTTTTGAATGTAATGATATGTGGTCCCAACCTTTTCATACTTACGTGTCAGCTCTCAACACCGCAAATTATGCAAACCACCTTTCTAAGCCAGTGGTTTTATGTGAAACAAAAACGCACTGCTCACTGAATTTTTTGCTATAAATACACCCCGTCTTTTCACTTGCTAATGACACTAGAACTTAGCCTAAGATCAAAGCTTCCTATTATAATTTGCAATGAAAGGAGGAGAGTCGGTGCCTTCATGGGTAGAACTACTGCTCTCGACGCAGTTTTTTACTACTTGCAGTAGCCATCTCATCTCTCCTCGTAACGAATGCAACTTCTTTTGCATCGATTGCCAGACACCACAAGCATCCTTTTGCTATTACTGTCGTTTAAGTCATCATTCCTCTCATCATGTAATCCAGGTATGAAGTATATCAAGTTATTATTTCGTAATATGGAGTACAAAAAGTATTTAGATATCATTGTTTTACAAATTATACACAAATAGCTTACTTGAAAATGTTACAACAAAGAAATCCACCTTTTGTTTTTTCACAATGCTTTTATGTACTTCAAGAGGTGTTTTCCCATCCTTGGAGAGGTATATACCTCCTCATATTTGAAATATACGTTTTCATAAATGGAGTTACCAAAACTAATGCTAAAGGTTGGAATAAGGTTGAAAACTCATCTTTGAAAATATTATTGAATTTTTGTTTTATTTTTAGGTATAATTACGTGTGTTAATCGAGAGGTATATGCCTCCAGGGTGGAGGTAAATACCTCATAACTAACAATACATGGTATATATACCTCTATTTACTTCCCAAGAAACAGAAAAGTTTCGTCATTACCAATCATAAATTTATTTTATAATCAGTTTAATCAATTTATTTTTTTATCACTAAAACAATAGGGAGTAGGGAGGTATATACCTTTTCAAGAATGGGAGAATACCTCATACTTCGAATAGGACTTCACCATAGAATGTAGTTGGTCTACACATAATTGTTTTGTGTGAGTGTTATAGGAATTGTAATTTTGGACATATGCAAATAATATCTCATCAAAGATGGATGGTGCTACTACTAAATGATATATCCACTAATTATTCAATCAATATTTCAGATCAGACGGTCGTCATACCATGATGTGGTGAAAGTTTCTGAGTTGGAGGATATCCTTGACATAAGTGATGTACAAACTTATGTGATCAACAGCTCAAGGGTTGTGTATTTGACTGAGCGTCCTCAACTACGGAGTTGTGGTGTTTCAAATACAAAGTTATCATCATCACAAACTTATAAATGTGAGATTTGCAGCCGTACTCTTCTTGATGATTTCCGGTTCTGCTCTCTTGGTTGCAATGTAAGTTATGAAACTCTTACATAGGTGCTTTTAAAATCTAAATCTGAGTATTATGTTACAAGTTGTCAAGTATTTGCAAGATTAAACTGCTCGTGCATAATTTTACAAGCTGTCAAGTATTTGTAGGATTAAATTTTTACGCACATCATAAATTTCCAATTAAACAATACAAAAATATGATTTCATATAGATGGAATTATTGTTTTAGTATGTGGTTAGTTTTCGTTCGTGCATATGTTATACATATATTATTTGGCCTTGTATTCCGCTCCAAATGTATTGATATGAATCATTTCCCATAGTTCGCAGCCATAAAAAGAGACAATGAGAAGAATGTGGCTCAAAATGGTATTGCCTCCAATGCAAATGAAGTTAAGATTGGCACCAACAATGGCAGCACAAATGCTGGAAGTGCCAATGAGATATCTAGTGATGCTAATAACTACCGCAATGAAATACCTTCATCAACAAGAGTTATTCGTCACCGTCGGAAGGGGATTCCTCGCCGTGCACCATTTTTCTGAAGAAAAGGCCTCAATTGACGTTGCCGAAGAAATCAATAAATGGACATGTAGCAAGGGTGGTTGTCATTGTGTGTCTTCCATTTTTTTTATCGTATTCCATATCTGTTGTGCTTTTCTGTGTGAATTTTAATGCTTTCAACAGTTGTTGCTTTTGTTGTGGGAATAAACATTGTGGCATGAGTAAAAGGATTTCAGTTCATGTAGGGTATGATGACAGGCTGTGTTTCAATGGTTCTTGACATATATTTCTAAATTTATATTCACTAGAAAAAATATCCGTGTTTTGCAACGAATGAATGCTATTTTAATCTTATTATTGTTATACGGTTTAGCTTGGATGAAATTCACTCTGGGAATTCACTTGGATTTTTATTAGAAAATCATGAGTTGCAATTAGGAGTATGATTTTAATCTCAAGTTAAGCATGCTAGTTTTTTTAAAGAAATTTCTTATATAACTTCTTTTGTATTTCCAAAAGCAAACGGATTTAAAATCCGACTCAAACCCGGATCTGTATTTTCAAAAGCGAACGTACTTAAAAACCGACTCAAATACAAATGACGTACCAAAATACCTGCAAAAACATTTTTAATTTTATAATAGTAGAGATAGAGCTGTGGCTTCTGTTATCAACAACTTGGTACTTTTAAGTTGAAGTTGAAGGTTACTGTGGTGGTATTCCGTGGTATCTTTCTAGTATTTCTATTAGTTGTTTTCAAAAATAATTTTGTTAAATTTGATGGAGGAGGCCAGAGTCAACACAACAATAGCAGCGACCGTTCATCAGTGCCAATCGAACTGCAGAGTAAATTGGAATAAATAGAGGGAGTAAACCACCGTTCTAGATCAGGTCTTGCTAAAATGAGGAGACATGCCATTGTTTCATGCCAGGGCAGCATTGGGTCTGATGCTCGGGCTTTACCATGAACTGGCAAAGTGGAGTCTAGTAGAGGTGGAACACACGGCATTGATGGCGTCGGCTCGGCTCACTGGCGCTGTCGCAAATGGGTGGTGTTTTGGGCAACATGGTAGCAGGGAGTGGACGAGACTTCAGGGAAAATGAAGAGGAGGATGCGAACAAAATAGATAGAGCTGTGTGCTTGTAGGCTTGTGGGAGAGTACTTAGTTTGGAGTGAGTTCACACTCCACAGGCTCAGCTAGCTTCCAGTATGGTGCCAGGGTGGAGCTAGTGGTGAAAGGTAAAGGAGAAGCCCTCAAAAAATACCCCTCGGTTATGCTGCGAGCGAGGAGAACGGCCTTCCGGTTCCATCATTTCGCTTATTCGACGAATAAGCGAAACGTCATATTTCCAAACAAAAACTAATTTATGTTCTTAGCGGTCTAAAAGCAAAGGCTGAAAAATAAACTTTGATGAAAAAAAAAATCTTAAAATCAGCTTCAAATTTAAGGTTGAAAATTCAAATTTTGGCTGATAAGCATAAACAGAAGCATAAAGATGAGGTGCTCCGTCTTCCTTGGCTCTGATCCCAAGTTATCCCTATCGATTCCTCTGCAACCGATGAGTTATAGCTCAATTCCTTGCACTTCAAGCTTCCCTAGTACCCCACTGAACACCCGCATGTGTTCACTTGCTAGTTTGTGGGCCGGAGGCTGTCGTTGCCACTCGCCCGGGGTCGCCACCACCGCCAGGCTGTCTTCGCCACGTTTCCTCACCATTTGTATCTCGTCATTCCCAGCCTGCAGTTCGGTGATAGCACCCTGGAAGTCCTTATGAGACTGTAATGCGCTATTTTACATGGGAACACTCTCTAATGCCACATGCATATGTAGGCCAACGAGCTCAACCGCTTGGAGCCACTGCCGGTGCAGTTCCAGCCACCTCCCGCTGCGCTGCTGCCACTGTTGGGTGCACAAAGAAGTCCTCTACAATTAATTTTTGAACCCCCAACCCCAGCCAAACCTTCGTTTGCCGGCTGCACCATCACCGACCTCGCCAACCACCACAACCAATTCCGGAGGACCTTGTTAGAGGAATAGATAGAACTCGAGGTATGAAGTTGTAACTTTCTCTATGCATGACATGTGGGCCTAGGATATTGCTTTGAACAAGTAGGGGATTAATTACGAGTTGTATTTCCATAACCGCAGGGGCTTTGCTGCAAAGGTGCATCCAATGATCTGTGGGCCCTTTGATTTGAAATCTGAGAAATATAACTTAGTTAAAGTAATTTTTGTTCAACTAAAAATTGTGCAAATTTGCAAGATCCATAGAAAATTCATATTACCACATTTTAGGGTGAACCAAATTTCAGTAGATTCACCAAAGTATTCTCTACAATGATATAAAATAAAAGTCACTTTTTTTTATAGGAAACTAGATGATAAATAACATTAAATATATTTGTGCGAATGAACTTTGTAGATATACGGGATAACAGAATGGCTGATGTTTCAATTAAAAAGGTACTCTCTCCGTTTCTAAATATTTGACACCATTGATTTTTTTGCATATGTTTGACCGTTCGTCTTATTCAAAAACTTTTGTGAAATATATAAAATTATATATATACATATAAGTATATTTAACAATGAATCAAATGATAGGAAAATAATTAATAATTACTTAAATTTTTTTATAAGACAAATGATTAAACATATTTAAAAAACTAAACGGTGTCAAATATTTTAAAACAGAGGGAGAGGGAGTATATCTGTACCAGATTCGATTGATCATCTACAAAAGAAATTGAATCGAGTGCGTCTTTCTGGTCATACCTCATCTTAGTTTCTGACTTCTGAGTAAATCATAAGAACTCATAGTATCAGCCTGATCGATTGAGACTAGCAAGATTATATATATTATACGAATAACTACAAGATTAATTAGCTGCATCAAAATGCAATGTCCTAAGAAAATTAGGCTAGTGACATAATAATCCTAAAGTTCATCGTGGCCAAGTCCAGATGTCTCGTGCACGGCCGCCATGAACGGGGCCACACGCGTCCTCCAACTCCTTGAGCTTCTCCTCGTAGTCCTCTTTCTCGGCGGCCGGATTGCCGTCGAGCCACTCGCTCGCCGCCCTCGCCTTCGCCTCGCAATCCGTCTCGCCGCCGGTCACCGCCGTGTTCTTGACTATGTAAGTCTCCAGCATGTTCAGGGCGTCGACTCTCTCCTTCACGATCCTCTCCTCCTCGACGAGATCCTCCGCCACCTCGCGGATCATCCGGTCGATCTCCTCCTTGCTTAGGCGGCCGTGCTCGTGGCCTTCACCGGAGACGATGGAGAGCCTCTCCGACTTGCCGGAGCCGCCCTTGTCCGTCGCCTCCACGTGGATGTCGCCGAGCTCGTCCACCTTGACGGTCACCTGGATCGGCCGCCACCGCCACCCCCAGTTCCATACGCTCGCCGGCGGGATTCCGGTGAGCACGAGCCGGCCGAAGAGCGTATTGTCCTTCGCCGTGCTGCCCTCGCCCTGGAACACGTTGATGGCCACGGCCGTCTGCCTGCCCAGGTACGTGGTGAAGACGTGCGTCCTCTCCGCCGGCAAGCGGCTCCGCCTCGGGATCATCGGCGTCACTGCGCCGCCGGCCGTCTCGATGCTGATTGTGTCTGACAAGAATGAGGGGAGATCTAATGGACCTGTGGATCAAAGAAAAAGATTCAGTTCTTGCATTGCATCATTGAACGAAACAAAGAGAAATTAGTAAATTACCCAACATAGTTGGTTTGTCGTCGTCGTCTCCGGCGACGTGTCTTCCTATCACGGCGGCGCCGTAGGCGACGGTCTCGTCGGGGTTGTTCACCTTGACGATCTCCTTCTTCCCGTCGAAGTAGTCCCTGATGAGCTGCTGCACCTTGGGGATCCTGGTGCTGCCGCCGACGTGGATGATCTCGTTGATGTCGCCCTTCTCCAGCCCGGCGTCCGCCATGGTCTTCCTCAACGGCGCCATAGTCCTCGCGAACAGGTCGTCGTTGAGCTCCTCGAACTGCGCCCTCGTGAGCGTCTCCGAGAGGTCGACGCCGCCGTCGAGCAGCGCCTCGATCTCGACGCGCACCTGGTGCTGGGCGCTCAGCGCGTGCTTGGCGCGCTCTCACTCCCGTCGCAGCCTGTGCATCGCGCGGCCGTCGCCGGTGATGTCCCGGCCGTGCTTCCGCTTGATGAGGTCGACGAAGTGGTTCACGACGCGCTGGTCGAAGCCCTCGCCGCCGAGGTACCCGTCGCCGTTGGTGGCGAGGACGTCGAAGAAGCCGTCGTCGGCCACGAGCGCGGTGACGTCCAAATTCTCGCCGCCGAGGTCGAACACCACGACGCGCTTGCCATTGCTCCTCACGTTGTCCAGACCGTACGCCACGGCGGCGGCGATCGGCTCACTGACAATGCGCATTACGTCGAGCCCGGCGATGTCGCCGGCGTCGCTGATAGCCCGGCGCTGCGCGTCGTTGAAGTAGACCGGGACGGCGACCACGGCAGACGAGACCGTTCTCCCGAGGTGCGCCTCCGCCGTCTTCTTCATCTTCGCGAGCACGGCGGCGGCGATCTCCTCGGGGCTGAGCACCCGCACGTCGCCGTCGGCCGCCTCAACCAGGACATGCGGCTTCCCCTCCATGTCCACGACGGCGTACGGCAGCCGCGTCATCTCCCGCTGCACATCGTCGTCGCCGAGCTTCTTTCCGAGGAGCCTCATGAAGTCATGGACGGCGCGCCCAGGGCTACCCACCGCCTGCTCCTTCGCGGCCTCGCCGACGACGAGCCGCCCGCCGCCGTCGGTGAAGGCGACCCAGGATGGGGTCAAGCGGCTGCCCTGGTCGTTGGGGATGATCTCGACGCGGCCCTTGCAGTACACGGCGACACAGGAGTAGGTCGCGCCGATGTCGATGCCGAGCACGGCGTTGTCCGTTGAGTGACACCGCTCGTCGGCCGGGACGACCAGACCCGACGCCAACCCGGAGACGGCGAGCAGCAATGTCGCCGCCGCCGCCATACGCGCCATTGGAATCGGATTCTTTGTCGTCGTTGACGGAGAGACCTCGTCGACGCGCCCAGTCTATATATACTCAGCCGTCGTTGTGCGCGACGTGGCCGCCGCGGAGGAGTCAACGTACTGGGGGGCAAGTGTCGGTGTTTGGTTCAACATGTGTGAGACGCGTGGCACTGTGTATCTGAGCCGTAGGTGGTCTGATCCGACGGTCAGGATGGGACTCGCGAGTGGCGGTGACGTGCTACAGTGCTGGCCTACCAAAAACTTCAGGTTCTGGTTCCATTTAGGTACGAAGAACTTTCTCGTATGATAAACGTAGAAATTCTTTTTCTCCTTAAGGAATGTTAATGGGTTTCTTAACTGGCATCCAAAAAGCTATGAAAAATTGAACATAAATTAAAAGATAAATCAATTGTTTCGTAACAACATGCCGCCAAGGATCTATAGCTGTCTTTAATCTCCCTGAGCTCATATTTGAGAAAGTCAACTACTACTAACCATCGATCACAGGTGAGAGCTTTACATCTGCTAGGCTGACAAAGACTATATTAGATTGTGCTCTCTATTGTATTCGTGAAATATAGATATATAATAGCAACATCAGTTTCGGCGAATAAATGTAGGGCTATTACCTATAAGTAGGGGGGCCATTACATGTGCAAAAATTATTTTCCACTTCTTTTTACTACAATCTCACGTATACTTTAGTATCAATAATCCCCATATGTTACAAATACCGTTGTCAGGTATAACCCTTCCACATGTACACTATTCACAGTCCAATTTGAATATTTCAATATGCATGTTTTTACATGAGTAAATTTACTTTTATTAGTGATGTTTCGCTTTCGATCACCATTTAAAAAATATTTTTACTTTGGATCAGATATTTTTATCTTTGTGGCACTTTAATCACCCTCGTTTTTTTTTTTGAAAACTCACTTTGATCACCCTAACTCTTTTATACATCTACATCCAACTTATCATATGCCAAAGAAATGGTTTTACATATACTTGGGAGAGTTCATTGGCGAGTAGGAGCCGAAGTATTCGAGATTGTTCATATGCTTGAGAATATAGTGGGTGGTCCAAAGTGAAAACATTAGTTAAAGGGTAGTCGAAAGTGAAACACTGGTAATAAAATGTACCCAAAGTAAAATTTACTCTAAATGGATTGATGTACCATGCTAATCTTTTTAACTTTTTAGGAGTGAATTGCACTTTGGTCCACCTTTTTTTTTCTTTTATCAAACTTTCATTATCAAGGTTTTACTTTGGAGTTTGGATCAACCTTTAGCCCATCTTTTCATGTTAGAGAAAAATTATCTTTGTTGCACTTTGGACTACCCTAAGTCTCTTTTCTAGATGCATTTACCCTCTCATATGGCAAAGAATAGCCTACTTGTAAGTCATAACATTACCGGCATATAGGTGGCAATGTACTTGAGGTCATTTACGTACTTGAGAAAAGATTTTGGGTAGTAAAAAGTGAAACTTTAATAATAGAACGGATAACATACTTCCCTCCGGGGGCTTGATGTCACAGTAAAAATCGGATGCTCCCTGACCCCAAGCAAGGGTTGTGGGTGGAACGGTGAAAAATCTCTATAAGTGAAAGTTAAAACCCAAAGTGCAATGGCATTGATCCACGTCATTGTAAAAGTATGAGCCATCGGATGTAACAATCGATACAATACCTACTGTTGGATCGTAGAAAAGTCTCAGTAAAAAAATGATGAAATGTCAAGATTCTTCGAGAGACTTCTATGAGATGGCTGAAAAAGAGGGCGAGAGAAACAAGAGATAGCATCTTCATCTCTAACAATAAATACTTCTTAACCTATCCTCCCAGTAAATAAAATATATTGGGGAAAGTATTACTCCAATGGCCAATTCAGCACAGTGAATCTCTGTTTTGGTTTGGCGCAAAAAAAGTATATGATGCCACACACCTTCCAAATTTAAATATCATACCTTTGAATTACCCAAAATTGTACTGAACTACACTTGAAATTAAAAAAAATCTAATTCTGCAAACTTTATAATTTAAGTAACTTAAACATTTTTTTTATCGTAAGTGTTAGACACATCTTCCAAATTTAGCTTGACATATAAATTAATTCTATTAGAATCATCCACTAGAGGATGATGGACTGGAGTCCAACACACTACACCTTAGCGCCACCACGCACGTTAAAAAGGTCAAAAAGCCAACGGTCTAACTCTAAATTTACGTCATTCCAAAAAAAACAAATGTATATTAACACTAATTGCAAAATGATATAACATATATTAATTTTCCGTTTTAACTGGATAGTCAAGATAAACTTATTAACATACATTTCACATGTAGATGTATATGGACGGGCTATATGGCCAGAACGCCAACAGAATATAAGGGGGCGTGAAGGGAGCTATGCAGTGGTGAGTACGATGGGAAGGTAGCAGCGACGATGAGCGTGTGTTAGGAGGGGTACGAGTATGAGTAATGATGTGTGAGTTTTGAAAAAAAAATAGTGATATGTGTGTCTGCGTTTTTCATTTACGTAATTGTAATAAAAAAAATATGTGTGTATTCTCACATGTTAATTTCACTCTACCAATGACTTTTTGACTTTCATTAACCGTAATTCGTCATTTACATTGTGATCACAAATTTCAGCTAATTACTATCAACAACACGTAAACACATTTAAAAAGAGATGTTATAGTCACGTGGATGCACAATATAATGTGCTAGTAATTATGAAAGTACTTCCCTCAAGGCACCCAATGCCACTGTAAAAATTAGATGATAAGTGATCCCAGCAAGCGTTGTGAGTGGTACGGTGAACATAAATTACTGGTCATATGCAGGGAAGCATAACGTTGTTGTAGTTAGCTAGCTTCTCATGCCATCATTTTTCTCACTTCAAAATATATTTTTTTCATGAACAATTTATCCCAATTATGATCTGATTATACCATTGTTTTCGTTGCAACTAAATCTTGATAACAAGATCTCAGTTGGTTATATTCAAGTGAAAGAAAATATGTGTACCAACCATTAAAATTTAATATTTCATACATGAGAAGTCAATGTTTCAATTCGAATTTGACCATATTGCATATTTAAAGTTTTTGTGTTGCATTGGATTTTTTCTAAATGTCACATATAGTGTCGTTCGAATGTTACAACAAGTACTTTTGCAAATTGTTGTTACAAAAGTTTGCTTGTTTTCGTGATACTTACTACACTTAAATAAGAACGCAACATCCATAAAAGGTAGTGTTGTAGATCAATGATGTTGCATGCAACTCACGCGACACATGGTATTGATGGCATAAGGCATGCCAAGCATGACCTATCATCGCCCAAGCACTATAAACCAAAAATTTGCAGTTTCTTTTGTTCAAATGGACAATGCCAACTATGTGCTTGCTCTAGCTTTTTCAAGTACAAGAAAATATGTGGTCCCACACTTTTCTGGCCCATAGATTATGCAAAGCATCTTTTGGCGCCAGTGGATTTTCTTAATAAAACAAGTATTGCTCATTGATTTATTGCTATAAATGCACCCCATCCTTTCACTTACTAACCAGATAGGCCTAAGAATCCTCTTGTGTTCACCATGAAGGGAGAATTTGTGCCTCCATGGTTAGAGCTCTTGCTTTCCACACAGTTTTTTAACACCTGCACTAGCCATCACAACTCCCCTCGCAATGAATGCAACCTGTTTTGCATCGATTGCCAAGCACCAGAAGCTGCCTTTTGCTATTACTGTCGTTCATGTCATCATTCTTCTCATCGTGTAATCCAGGTATGAAATAGTTATTTGGTATCATTGGGCACAAAAGTAATTAGGTATCATCATTCACAAATGATAAATATTTTTACAATCTTTTTTATACATCAAATAGAAATTCGATAAATTATATCTTACAACTATCATACACACATTAACTTTCTAGCATAGTTATGAATATTGTGAGTATGTCACACACATCATGTTCCATCAAAGATGAATTTCACCATTGGTTAAGCAGATCTGAGTAGATTTACTATTTAATCTTTCAGATTAGGCGATCATCATACCACGACGTGGTAAAAGTATCTGAGTTAGAGGATATCCTTGATATCAGCGATGTACAAACCTATGTAATCAACAGTGCAAGGGTTGTGTTTTTGAATGAGCGACCTCAGCTACGTGGTTGTGGTGTTTTGGCAATAAAATCATCGCCATCCTCATTGTCCTCTTATAATTGTGAGACTTGTAGCCGTGTTCTTCTTGATGCATTCCGCTTCTGCTCACTTGGTTGCAATGTAAGTTATAAACCTCTTCAACAAGTACTATTCAAACTAATATTGTTATGCAATTTAATATGTAGTCAAATACTTGGATAATGAAATTTGTGAGTGCAAACATTGTCCACTTTTAAGAAAGCAATAAAAAAAATGTGATTTCACACTTAGATGGAATGCTTGTTGTAGGTTGTGCTTTGTTCAATTATTATTTACTTTCACATTTTAAATTAGAACCTTTTACCTTATGTGTTATTCCACATGTTATGATGCTAAAATTTTCCACAGCTCATAGGCATAAAAAATGATGTGGAGACAGTTGTAGCTAACGATGGTATTGCCCACAATGATAAAGACATAGAGATTGATGGCAGCAATGGTACTGCAAACACCAATGGTACTGGAAAGGGCATAGAGATTTGTGGCAACAACGGTACTATTGCAAATACTGGAAATGAGGATGAAATATGTAGTGATGCTAGCAAGAATAAGGAAATACTATCATCAACAAGGGTTGTTCGTCACCGACGGAAGGGAATTCCTCGTCGTGCACCATTTTTCTGAATGAAAACTTCTTTCGATGTTACTGAATAAAAAAATAAATGGACCCTTTGTGTTATTATGTCCTCCATAGATCTTTTGTTAGTTCTATTACAGATCTATGGAGCTCATATTAGTTCTATCACAATTTTTGCTATTGTTGAGTTATGGCAATATTCCATAAATTATAATTTTGGTATGATTAAAAATGATTTGGTAGTAATACAATAATAATTTGTGCCTCAAGCTTCTTGGTTGCTTCTTTCATAGCATCAACCAAAAATATGGATCTCGTTGGAAATTTGGTCATAATTCGGCATGTTTTAATCCAAAATATTAAGACAATAAACATGATATTTGTAATTTGACTAGAGCTAGTGACATTGCTAGATGTGTACAATATGAGCATGCTTAATATAGAATAAGCATCAACATAGACAAGAGAACGCAATAATATTGCGACCGACGGTTGTAGGAAACGAAGAACGAACGGTAAGAGTGAAACGTTATACCCTGAGAATGGCCCTCCGCTGGAGTTTGAGGCGGTATTGCCTCCGTTGGTGTTAACGGGAGGCTCCTTCTCCTTGTCTCCAGTGTTGTTGTTGTCGCCGGTTGTTGACATGTTGGTGAAGATGATGCAGAGCAGTCGCGCTTGAAGCGCTACCCAAAAACTTGATCGCCTGCCTACCCGTGCAGGTTCTCAAGCGGACGGAGTTTCAGAGGCACCTGCTCATTCCGATCATCCGTTCGCGCGGGATGAACAGAACCGAGGAAACAGAGAGACAACGCAGGAATAGAAGGAGAGTATCGCCAAGGAACAATAGCAGCAGGAAGACACACTCTTTGAGAGCCTCTGCCTTGCGTTATATATAGAGAGAAATCGCCATTACCACACAAATAAATCTCATTTGTTGTGAAGGTTACCACAAAATAAATCTCATTTGTTGTGAAGGTTACCACATAATGAATCTTTCATTTGTTGTGAATGTTACAACAAATAAATCTCTCATTTGTTGTGGATGTTACAACACAATGAATCTCTCATTTGTTGTGGAGGTTACAACACAACGAATTTCATTTGTTAATGGTGACTTTATTCTCGTCTGTTACAAAACGGAAGAGCAGCAGGCAGGCTCGGCTCGGTCGGCCGCCTCGCCTTGCTACGCCCACGGCCAAGGCTGACTCGGCGCGCACGCATGCGTGTGGCAGTCCAACCATCACCTCAACCGGTCAACAGGGAATATCCAATATCACCCTATTTAAGTTGAGGTTCTTCCACCTAATTTTTCAAGGCAGTATTATTCTCTCTAACATTAATTGTGGGCTCTTGAGATTTTAATTGAATTAAATTGGGCCTAGCCCATTTATTCCAACAATCCCCACCAAATTTCATGTTTCACAAGAAATGTTCTCAAAACTGAACCTGTTAGTTATACCAGTGTTTCGATGGAGACTGTTAAGTTGAACTTCCACCTAGTAAAAGAGCTACACCAGATCACAACTGCACAATGGACTATGCCTTGAATTGTCAGTCTTGTGCGATTCAGGTTTCACTCAAACCCTTAACTGGTACTGGGCTGTCATTTGGATCCCCTCTGTTTGGAGCATATAAGTCATACTCATGGCCTTTTCATGAGTATCTAGAGATCACCCAGATCTCATAGACTGTGACTAGCAGTCGGACTCATATAGGTGTGTTCCTTCTAAGATGTTCTGTAGGCCAACATCTCTGCTTTATGAAAAGCCACTCGGATCACATTAAGGTGTATACCATCCTACCATATAGATTAGAAGAGAGGTGCATCATGAAGATAAGCTCATTTTAGGGTCTCTTCTCTCAGTTACCCAATAGTTTGTTTCGCCATCCAAATTCACGGGATCTTCGATCACAATGGATAGGTTTCCACCATTGTGCAACTCTAAGTGGGTTTCAAGCCTATCTCCCTCGATCCACAATCTATCACATTATGTGGTAGCCCCTTGGTAAACTGATCTGCCAGATTTTTAGCCGTCTGGACATAGTCCAATGCTATCACTCCGGAGTTTTTCTGCTTTCTGACAGACTTCAGTCTTATTTTAACATGCCTGGATGACTTCATGTTGTCCTTCGAACTATTCACTTTAATAATCACTGTTTGATTATGACAGATCATCAGGATTGCTGGTACTGGTTTTTCAACCACCGGCAAGTCCATTAGGAGCTCACGAAGCCATTCGGCCTCAACTGTGGCAGTATCTAAAGCTGTGAGTTCTGCTTCCATTGTTGACCTCGTTAAGATGGTCTGCTCGCAAGACTTCCAGGAAACAGAGCCCCTCCAAGTGTGAACACATACCCACTTGTGGCCTTTATCTCATCAGCATCAGATATCCAGTTTGAATCACTATAACCCTCCAGTACTTTTGGGTACCCAGTGTAGTGAATTCCAAAGCTCATTGTCCCTTTTAGATAGCGCATTACTCTTTCAAGAGCATGCCAATGATCATCTCCCGGATTTGAAACAAACCGGCTCAACTTGCTCACAGCAAATGAGATGTTAGGCCTCGTTACATTAGCTAAGTACATCAATGAACCAATAATCTGGGAGTATCTCAATTGATCCCTTGCTATTCTTCGGTTTTTCCTTAATAGCACACTAGGATCATAAGGAGTAGGAGCTGCCTTGCAGTCACTGTAACCAAAGCGACTCAGGACCTTGTCCACATAGTGAGATTGCACAAGTGTAATCCCACCATCATCTCCTCTCGGTAGTTTAATGTCAAGAATAACATCAGCCACTCCCAAATCCTTCATTTCAAAGCTTTTGGACAAGAAGTCCTTGACCTCCCCAATCACATTGAGGCTGGTCCCAAAGATTAATATGTCATCGACATATAAACACAAGATCACTCGCTCTCCCCCACCATAGCGATAGTACACACATTTGTCAGCTTCGTTCACAACAAAGCCAGCAGATGCAAGTGTATTGTAAAACTTCTCATGCCATTGCTTAGGCGCTTGTTTGAGACCATACAAGGACTTCAACATTTGCACACCATTCCCTCTTGACCTTTTAGTACATACCCATCTGGTTGATCCATATAGATCTCCTCCTCCAACTCTCCATTGAGGAAAGCTGTCTTAACATCCATCTAATGGACGAGTAGACCATGAGAGGCTGCCAGAGCGAGTAGTACTCGAATCGTGGTCAAGCGAGCAACCGGTGAATAAGTGTCGAAAAAGTCCTCGCCTTTTTTGGGTATAACCCTTGGCCACAAGCCTTGCCTTGTATTTTTCAATTGTACCATCAGGCCTAAGCTTTTTCTTGAAAACCCATTTGCATCCTACAGGCTTGCACCCATATGGACGCTCGACGACTTCCCAAGTACCATTAGGCATAATTGAGTCCATCTCACTGCGTACCGCTTTCTTCCAGTAGTCAGCGTCAGGAGATGAATATGCCTCTTCAATGGTTCTTGGAGTATCATCCACAAGATATACAATGTAGTCATCTCCAAAAGACTTTGTAGTCTTTTGTCTCTTACTCTTTCAAGTTGCTACAATGTTATCCTCCACAGGATTTTCCTCAAGTGTTTGATCAATGTATTCTATCGGCGCAAAGTGCTCAGGGGATAAAATAGGTTCTTGACTAGAAGTGCTAGGTGCATTTTTCATAGGAAATTCATTCTCAAAAAATGTGGCATCTCTAGACTCAGTAATTGTACCAATACGCATGTCGGGTACTCTAGAATTTACTATTAAGAACCTATATCCCACACTGTGGATAGCATAACCAAGGAACACACAATCTACGGTCTTTGGTCCAAGTTTACGCTTTTTGGCTATAGGTACATTTACCTTGGCCAAATAGCCCCATGTGCGCAGGTGAGAGAGATTTAATTTCTTCCTTTCCCATTCCTCGAATTGTGTTACTTCCTTATGCTTAGTAGGAATTCTATTCAGGACATGACACGCAGTCAATATTGCCTCACCCCACCATTCCTTGGAAAGTCCTGCAGTGTCTAACATGGCATTCACCATCTCAGTTAGAGTGCGGTTCTTTCTTTCGGCTACCCCGTTTGACTGGGGTGAATAGGGAGGCGTCCTCTCATGAATAATTCCATACTCTTCGCAGAAAGAAGTAAACTCATTGGAAAAATACTCTCCACCCCTATCAGACCTCAACCGTTTGATTTTCCTTTCCAGTTTGGTTTTCTACCTCAGCCTTATAGATCTTAAAGTAATGTAATGCTTCATCCTTTGTTTTCAATAGGTACACATAGCAGAATCTATTGCAATCATCTATCAGTGTCATGAAATATTTCTTTCCCCCTTTAGTCAACACGCCGTTCATTTCGCACAGATCGGAATGAACAATTTCTAGTGGTGCCAAATTCCTCACCTCAGATGCCTTGTGAGGCTTGCGAGGTTGTTTCGATTGAACACAAGTATGGCACTTAGAGCCTTTGACTAAAGTGAATTTTGGAATTAAACTCATGTTGGCTAAGCGTGTCATACAACCAAAATTCACATGACAAAGTCGCGAATGCCACAGATTGGACTCATCATCATTATTGCTTACATGGTTGACAACTTTATTACACATATCATCCAAGGAAAAGCGAAACAAGCCTCCGCTGTCATAACCTTTTCCAATAAACGTTCCATATTAGATACGACACATTTATTGGATTCAAACACAAGTCTAAAACCATCTCTACACAGTAGAGAGCCGCTAACTAGATTCTTCTTTATTGAAAGGACATGATGCACGTTCTTCAGCTGCACTATATTTCCCGAAGTAAACTTCAGATCGATCGTACCAACACCATGAACAGCTGCAAGCGATCCGTTTCCCATCAACAAGGAGGAACATCTCCCGACCTGATAGGAAGAAAACAGGGAAATGTCAGCACACACATGAATATTAGCACCAGTATCAACCCACCAATCAGGTGAGTGACAGACAAAGAGAACTGTAGGTAAAAATTTACCATACCTCAATGTTCCTCCGCCCTCACCAATAACCATGCTTGCAGACTTCTTATCCTTGCACTCAGGACAATCCTTGGCCCAATGCCCATACTTGCCACACACAAAGCAATCTCCTTTTGCCTTTCCCTTGCCTTTCTTCTTAAAATTGGTTGTAGCCTTGGGTTTGACGTCAGGTTTGACTTTCTTGTTGTTGTTGTGGGATGCGTGAGGGTTCTTCTTCTGCACCAAATTGGCGCTAGAACCTCCCTTGATCTTTTTACTCCGGTTGTCCTTTGCCCTCGCCTTCTCCT